TGAGGAGCGGCGCGCTGCCGCCCCTCGACACAGGGAAGGCAGGGAGGAGCAGGCGAGGGTGGGAGAGGAGGGAGAACCCTGGGAAGACCAGAGACAAGGTACCGGGAGTGCATGGCACGAAGGCGCTGCACAGACGGGTGGCCAAGTCGGTGGTGCCAGAGGACAGTCTCGTGCGCTAGAGAGCGACACGAGCAGGGGGCAGACAGCTGACCTGACGCGGACACAAACGCAGATGCAGACGCAGCGACCTGAGGGGAGGCAGTAGTCAGTGTGTACAGGTCCGACCCCGGCTCCCGGGTGAAGGTAGCCAAGTGGCGGCCCGTACGAGCACACGTGCAGTGTGTCACACGCTCGTAGGCAAGGGTGAAATGGTGAACACCCCCGTCCTGGAGAGCAGAACCTGCCACCAAGTTCGTGGAGAACGAGGGGAGGTGGAGACCTGACAGTGTGCCCGACGGGACCGCAGGGCAGGGAAGGACAGTGGAGGAGGTCGCAATGACCGGACCCCCAGAGGGGTCAGCAAGGGAGACAGCATCTGGCCGAGCAAGGGGCTCAAGGGCAGTGCGATCACGAAAGAAACAGCGAGAGGCACCTGAGTCCAGTGTGAAGGTGTGCAGTGCTGCAGTCGACACAGTACCAGGGGGGGCAGACACGCACGCACCTAGAGCAGTAGCCTCACCAGCACCTGGGGTAGCAGACACGTGGGTACCTGGAGCAGCAGACGCACTCGTCCTAATGCCCGGGTCGGGCGGGACACTCAGGTACTCAGAACCCTCTCCACTAGTAGACATCACATACATGGCAGAGAGAATAGCATCAAAATCTAGAGCATAGATATCAATCCCCTTCTTCAGGAGATCAAGCCAGCGGGGCAGCTCAGTGGCCTGAGGGAACTGAACACGCCAAGCGTTGCTCAGACGAGCGAAGCAACGCTGTGTGGCGTGCGGTCCCCTACACGGCTGGCCAGTGCGGTCACCAGTGCGAATGACGTACGTGCAGCTAAGGCCACCCCCCCCCCCCGTGCTGAGAGTACCACTCACGGACCTCCTGGGGCGAGGGAGTGTGCTGCTGTCCCTGGCCACCGCCAGTGCCGCCACGCCCACCACTCCCGCCACCACCTCCTCGACCACCCCAACCCCTGCCGCCGCCTCGTCCACCGCCACCCCCACTACCTCCTCCGCCCCGGCCACCTCCCCCGCCGCTGCCGCCACCCCCACCACCGCTGCCACCTCCCCCACCCGCGCCACTCCCCCCGCTACCACCTCCCCCACCACCGCCACCCCCGCTGTCACCACCACCGCCCTTGCCCCCCTTGCCCTTGCCGCTGCGGCGTCCGCCCGAAGCAGACGCAGTCCCGACCTTCTCAGCACCAAGGAGGTTGACAGCAGCAGCAGAGGCGACAGAGGGAAGAAGGGGGGAGGGAGAACACCCCTCAAAGAACGGGGTGCGGGGGTCACCGCGAGAGGCACCTACAGCGACTATGCTAGTCTCGGCTGCAAGGAGTTCCTTCTCGAGGAGCGAAATGGTGAGCTCGGTGGGGCAGCGAGTGAGGAAGTGGTCCCTGATTGAGCGCAGCGAGTCAGGGAGGCGCGTGACTAGGTGGTAGAGAGTGATCCAGAGCGGGGGTGGGTTCGTGGCGAGGAACTCATCAGGCATAGCGGCGCGGAAGCGAGCCTCACTAGTGCGGAGGTGGGTAATGAGGTTAGCGACAGTGTGAAAGGAAGCTAAGTCGGGGAACAGGTAGGGAAGAGAGAGACGGCCTAGAGCAGCAGAGGCCGGTGAGGAGTAGCGGGCAACGACTGCAGTGTACAGTGCCTGTGTAGTCTTGTGCTGCCCAAAGTGCTCGCGCTCATCTATCGGCAGAGAGTTGCGGATAGCGAAGCGGGCATGGGCGTCACGAGTCTGCCACTGTGAGCAAGCAGTGCTGTCGGCAGTAGCAGCAGGAGCAGTAGCGTGGCCTAGGGCGTGATCGTACAGCGAGATGTCTTCCTTGGCAGTGAGCTGTAGGAAGAGGTGTAGGTCATCAAGCGAGGTGTCGAACTTCACTGGGCGCCCCTCAGCATCGAAGGCTAGCACTGGAGGGCTAGCCATGGTAGCAGCAGTAGTAAAAGCAGCAGGAGCAGTAGGTAGGTAGGGCGGCGCGGCTCGGTACAGGTAGGGTGGCGCGGCTCGGTATAGGTAGGGCGGCCCGGCTCGGTACAGGCGGCGCGGCTTGGTTCGGGCGGCTCGGGTCGGGCGGCGCGGCTCGGGTCGGGCGGCTCGGTTCGGGCGGCTCGGTTCCGTTAGGGCCGGGCTGTTCGGTGCGGGCGGCGCGGTCTAGGTGGGGCCGTTCGAGGCGGCTAAGGGGAGCGCGGGGAGCGGGTGGGGTTGGGGACGGGGCCGACGCGGGCTGGTATGGGTAGGGACGGGGCCGACGCGGGCCTCTAGGGGTAGGGACGGGGGCCGACGCGGGCCTCTAGGGGTAGGATCGGGGGCCGACGCGGGCCTCTAGGGGTAGGATCGGGGCCGTCGCGGGCCTCTAGGGGTAGGGACAGGGCCGTCGCGGGCCTCTAGGGGTAAGGACGGGGCCGTCGCAGGCCTCTAGGGGTAGGCTCGGGGCCGACGCGGGCCTCTAGGGTAGGCGCGGGGCCGACGCGGGCCTCTAGGGGACGAGCTCCGGGCCGACGCGGGCCGTTAGGGTTAGGCGCTGGGCCGATTCGGGGCCTCTAGGTGCAACCGCGCGGGGCCTACAGGGCCTCTAGAGGCGTGAACGTCGAGGCGCCCTAGGGCAGGTAGGCAGATAGGCAGGTAGGTAGTGGTGGGCCCTTAGGAAAAACGGTCCTAGGAAGGACCTGCTCTATACCATGTTGAACAAGGAATGAAATGACTAAGGATGAAATGAGTACAAATATGGAAACCTAGAAGTGTGTACCCCCTATAGGCTAACCCACTGTAGCCTAAACAACTACAACAATATATATAATGTTTGACACAGAGTGCCGCTTCGGAGATCCTCCCGTGTGCTCGTAATATGGCGCGAGTGGAGCGCCAGTGGGGGCCGAGACCGCCGATGACCACCGTGACAAAGGCGTCTTCTGAAATTGACCCTCCGCATCGAAGAAGCTTGTCGCGCAGTTCGCGGCAGCGGCTGATATAAGCCATGCCTTTCTCGCCTGGTTTCATTTCAATCGTTGTTAGCTGCGCCATTAACCTGCTTTGATTTACGCTGTCTGTTGCTTGATACAGGTTCTTCAGGTGGTTGTATGCGAGCTCCGCGGAGTTGCCGTAGCCTCGGTAGGTTCTGATGTTCTGCTGCTGGGTCGGGGTGATGTTTCTTTGCAGTATCGTGTACGCCATCATTGATTGATAGGTGTACTGCTGCTTCTCATATTGTGTCCCGTTTGTTGGATATGGCAGGGACCCGTCGAAGAAGCCGAGAATCTGTGCTCCTTCCATCATCAATTCGAACTCGAACGACCAGGTGAAGAAGTCTTTGCCGTAGAAAGGCTTTGTCGTTTGCAGCTTTAGGACGTGCGCGAATTGCGACTGAACTTGCAATGCGTCCAATGCCCTTTCTTGTCCTGGTGCAGATTGGGGTTGCGGCATGAAGCTGACGGAGCCACGCTGGGGCTCGTATGGAGCAAAGGTGGGTTGTTGATGTTGATTCCCGCGCGCGTAGGATGAGCCATCGAGACTCATAGGCGTCACGTTGTTGTTGTTGTTGTTGTTGTTGTTTGATTGCGCAGGTGCTCCTTGCTGGTGCTGCTCGTAGAAGGACATGAAGGAGAAAAATTTCTCCATCATGCTTGGATCGAAGCCCGCGCCTTGGTTTGCGGGTGTTTCCGTAGACCCAGCTGCTGGTCTCGTCGTTGTCCCTTCCTCTGTCAGTAGGCCAGAGGCAGGTGGTGGAGTAGGGGTAGTACCGGGAGAGCCGTTGGAGGAGCTCCTCTCCTTTCTAGCAGACATGTCTTCTTGTATTTTGTAAAAGGAGGAATAACTTTTAAGCTCTAACCGCTCTCATACCATGTTGGGCTGAGGTGCCCTAGGATCTTTGTAGAGTTAAAGTTTGAGTAGGATGATGTAATAGCGAATGCGTTGAATAAGAAAGCCTTGAACCACCTTGCGCTGGTATGTGAGGGCAAAGTAAGTTGATTAAAACAGGCAAATACAAAGCTTTATATAAGAGTACAAGGAATACGAATAGATGTAATTAAACTACCTTGCTGTTGCGATTCGATACAGTGCGACTCGGGCAACTGCTCAATGTCGAGTCAGTTGTGTGTCCTTGCTGTCGCGCTGTATTGGTCAAGTCAAAGGTCGCTGACCTTTGACCTTCGCGTAACCTCCAGGCGGTTACCCTAACATCCGAGGGTTGACTCGCGATGCTTCGATTTGAACTTCTTCGCTTTGTGTCCTGAGTTTCGACACGACAGAGGCGCTTAACTTATTTGTTCCCAACACATTCCACGTCAGCTAGCTCCGCCCATACATCCCAACCACAAGCCAACTACCTCGCCACCGCTCGCCATCAATGACTCGCCCTGCATCAGAGCCGATCATCGAACCCGAAAAGATCCTGAGTCATCGGATTCGCCACCCAACGGGAATCAGGAGGATTTAATTATTCGTTCGGTGGAGGGACCGCACGACAGCCGAAGATAGCTGGGTGCCCCTGACCAACATCGAAAACCACCCTGCCCTTCAAGTATACCTGAGGAGCCGGGGATGCCGCGATATAGACGCACTCGCGTAGCGGAGGGGGCTTCTTGAGGGGGGGGGGGGGGGGGTATTGTAATGAATTTTCTCGGCATTCCTTATGGAGCCCGACTACATCGCGTACAGCGACAAACCGTTGTTCGCCTGTTACTGCTAACGTTATCCCAAAAACCCCAAGCCATTTCGCTCAACGTTAATTGGAATTTTGCCTCTCTCTTTTTTCTGTCAGCGGGAGCGAAGCCTTTAGCTGCACCCCTCTACCGAGGCGTTCCGGTTTGAAGCGATCGCTGGTCGTGTCTTCATTCATGCCCGTCATCTCTTTCCTCTCGCTCCTATCGCCCACTTCACTCCCTCTCTCTCTCTTCCACTTCAACAGCGGAGCCACATCGGTGGATTTCTCCTGCGTTGGTGCTACTGCTGCTGCCAACTCCACAGCGGGGAGCGGTGCTAGGGGCAGCAATGGGAGCAACGCGACAACAGGCGGTGGCTCGGGCGGCAGCAGTGGCAGTACCAACTCCACCACGGGCAGCGGAACGGGCAGCAGTGGCAGTGGGAGCACCACCAACAGCACGACCCCTGCTCCTCCCTCTACCCCGCCTGCTTATAGCGAGTCGTTTCCCTTCCCGCCTGATTCTAACGGGTTCGTGAGTCCTCCTCCTCACCACGACGGAGACCATGACCATGGGATTGAGCATGGGAACGACGGTGAGCAGGAGGGGGGAGAGTGGGGAGACAGGGAGGAGTGGGCGCATTGGGGAAACGGAGAGGGGGAGCGTGAGGAGGGGAGGGGAGACGGAGGGGAGGGCGACGAAAAAGGGGAAGGAGGGGAAGGAGGGGAAGGAGGGGAAGGGGGAGATGGGGCAGGAGGGGGGGATGTGGCAGGATGGGGAGGTGGGTCTGGTGCAGCATCGGCTTGCCAGGCCTCGTCCCTCCGTGACTATATCGAACGGGCTTCTCCTCCATTGGACGCTCGTTAGTGGCACCACAACCAGCACCACACCCACCACCAGCTGCAGCAGCAGCACTGGCAGCAACAGCAGCAGGGCACAGCTGCGAATGGCCTTGGAAGCACAGCAGGGCGGCGGGGCAGAGAGCAGTTGGATCTCCATCGGCTGGTCAGTGGACGGCCGGATGGCCCCCGCTGACGCTGTCATTGGGAACCTTCCAGGAAGTGAGGTTGCTGCGTATGCCATGACTGGTTACCAAATGTCCGATGTTACGGTCACCAGCAGATTTTCGATTACTGAAGCGAGTACTGAGGCGGCTAGTAACGGAGCGACTGTTGTGAAGTTTACCCGGACGGAAGGGGACGGGGGACTAGTCCCTGTGGATTTTTCCAGGGTAAATACCCTCGTGTGGGCGTTTTCGGGTTCCGGCTCGCAAGCACTGGACTTCCACAACCGCAACGAGTGAGTTAACTTGCTGGTTACCATATTGTCTGTTACACACCTGCTGGTTACCATCGCCACGAGCTTCCGCATCCGCTGGTTACCACACGATTGATTTCTGCAAACGGCTTGTTCCAACTCAACAGCCAGCAGTTCTCATTCACGCTTCCAACTCACTCCCCTCGATATCTGTTCTTTATGTTATTTGTCAACCCCTTTGTTGTCACCCCCGTTATTGCCACATGTGCATCAGTGGATCAGTCCAGGTGGATTTCACTTGCGCCACTGCTGCTGCCGGCAACAGCAACTCTGCGTCAACTCAGGGCGATGACAGCCAATCACTGGGTGCCACGTCAGCAGCAGCATCCAGCAGCGGCAGCAGCAGCAGCAGTGCGTGCAAGGAGTCTTCCCTAACCGGATATGACTGCATGGTGCAGCTCAATGGCGACAAGTGAGTGGTCACTGCACAGGGCCGTGTGGGGCAGGTGAGTGAGTGAGTGAGTGAGTGAGTGAGTGAGTTGGCGGTCAATTGTTGAGCTGTCTTTTGAAGCAGCAGTGCGTGCAAGGCGTCTTCCCTGACCGGATATGACTGCATGGTGCAGCTCAGTGGCGACAAGTGAGTGCCAAGGGGGCATGTGGCATGGGGTGGGTGAGGAAGGAGGTATGGGTGCTTGAGCATGGGGCATGGGGCATATGGGGCATGGCCGCATGGGTCATGGGCATATGGAGCATGGCCGCATGGGTCATGGGCATATGGGGCATGGCCGCATGGGTCATGGGCACATGGGGCATTGGGCATGGAGCAACGGCAGCATCATCAACTGGTTGGAAGTACCAAGCGATTACACCCTTTCTCGTCACTCATCCCCACCCACCCTCCCCTTCCCCCATCCCTGCAGCTTCATCCTGCACTGGAAAGCCACCACAAGCGCCACCAGCACCATCGCAGTGGCAGCAGAGGCAGCAACGAGCGGGTGGGTGTCGCTCGGCTGGTCCGCCTCTGGTCGCATGTACCCCGCTGAAGCCGCCATTGGGAACCTTCCTCCATATTTTCCTCTCTTCCCCTCTCCCCATCCCTGCAGCTTCATTCTGCACTGGAAAACGAGCGCCACCAACACCATAGCAGTGGCAGCAGAGGCAGCAACGAGCGGGTGGGTGTCTCTCGGCTGGTCCCCTTCCGGTCACATGTACTCAATCCCCATCCTCCCCTCCCCTTCCCCATCCCTGCAGCTTCATCCTCCACTGGAAAGCCACCACCAGCGCCACCAGCACCATCGCAGTGGCAGCAGAGGCAGCAACAAGTGGGTGGGTGTCTGTCGGTTGGTCTGCCTCCGGTCGCATGTACCCCGCTGAGGCCGCCATCGGCAACCTTCCTGCTGGCACTCTTTCCACTGGGAATGCTGCAGCAGCAGCAGTCGGGGCGTATTTAATGAGCGGCTATGGAGCCAGCGACGTCACGGTTACGAGCTCGTTTGCGGTTACCAACACGGCTGTGGAGGCGAGCAACGGGCGGACGGTTGTCAAGTTTGAGCGGTCGATGACTGATGGAGAGTTCCCTGTGTCCTCGAGCCGAGTTCTGTGGGCGTACTCGCGGGATAACTCGCAGCAGCTGGCAGACCACGGGCCCAATGCGTGAGTTGATTCTTGAGTGTGTTTTACTGCTGCTCTCGCACCTTAGGTCCAGTCCCACAGCCCACTCCGTATCGTTTCTCGTGCCTACCATTGTCCACTGTCATGTGATCCTACTCGCGGGATAACTCGCAGCAGCTGGCAGACCACGGGCCCAATGCGTGAGTCTCCGCCTGCCACCATTCGGCCACTCCCTGGTGATCCTTTAGCCGCCTCAAAATACCGTGTCGCGGCACATTCCCATGCCGAATTCCTCTGGCTCCCTTTCACTTCTCATGGCTTCTCATGAGCATACCCGATTCGCTTCTCATGCCGCCTTTCCCTCCTCTCCCTCCCATCTCTGCCCCTCTCCCTTCTTATCCCCGTTATCAGAGGCTTTGAGACAGGGGCATCAGAGTTGGGAGAATCAAGCAGCGGCAGTGCCTCGCTCTACACCATGCATGTATGGCTGCTCACTGTCGCCTTTGGCATGCTCATGCCCTCTGTCCCTCCCCCATCCCCATTGACAGAGGCTCTGTGACAGTCAACTTTGCAACGGGAGCATCCGAAGTGGGCGGCTCCAGCACTGAGAGCGCCACGCTCTACACCGTGCATGCATGGCTGCTCACTGTCGCCTTTGGCATACTCATGCCCGCTGCCATCCTTGTATCGAGGCTCTTCCTTGCGGATAAGCCCATGCCTGGGCATTCCACTGCCCCTGCTGCTGCAAGTAACCCTGGTGCAAGCAACAGCGGGACAGCTGCAGCGGGCACGGCAGCCGCAGGTGGGTTGGGGGAGCCGATGCTTGGCGAGAAGCATGGTGGGGCGGCAGCAGCGAAAGAGGGGGGAGGGAGTCCCCTAAAAGCCAGTCTCCCCAGCAGCCTGGTGGCAGAAGATGCACCGGCTCTTGTTGCTCTCTCCGTCGGGGGACCATCTCCAGCAGCAGCAGCAGGAGGAGCAGCAGGGTCGGGCACAGCAGGAGGTGCAGCAGCAACAACAGGGGGAGCAGTTGTCAGGAAGCCATGGGTGAGCAAGCCCATGGCATTTGAGGTGCACAAGTGGCTTATGCTCTCCGCTGTGCTGCTTGCTCTCGCTGGAATCATCATGGCCTTTGTTGAGAAGGGGTCGCAATCATTGCAGTCGACACATGGACAGCTCGGATTGGCCGTGATGGTGCTGATTGTTGTGCAGCCAATCGTGGGGCAGCTGAGGCCGCTCAAGAAGCATCCCAGCCGTCCATCCTGGTTTGCGCTGCACTGGGTGGTTGGCGTTGGAACGGTGGTGATCGCGTGGGCAAACACGTACCTGGGATTCAAGCTTGCCACCTCCAAATTTGGATACGACCTCAATGTGAGTTTCCATATTTTGGTGTGGTTGTGTCCCTTTTCGTACAAGCCTGCAACCATCTTCTTCCTTCCACTCATTCCCCCCTGCTCACATTTAAATTCATAGCCAGGGCGACGGTAACTCATGCTTTACCTCTCCCGTACCTTACCTCCCAGCCCAAGCCCCCCCACTTATAACCCTTCCATACCTGGTGACGTTTCCTTCCACCCTGCCCCATCATCATTTCTCGTGTCCTCCTTGACAGTGGTCCTACATTGCCTTCTCCATTTTGATTGGGTTGTTCTCTGCGGTTTATGTCTTCGACTTAGTGTTGGACCAAGTTGGGTTTTGTTGTGTGCACTTCGAGAAAGACAAGCCATATGTCACAGCAAAAAGTGTCGAGATAGTGTAATGTTCTCTTGCAGCGTTGTGACATGTATATTAGTGCACGTAAGGATGTGGCTATGTATACTTGCTTCTATTGTGGCGGCCTGCTCGTGGTTCTGGCCAACATAATGTGTGAAGTCATGCTTGCTTTCTGCTTAGAAAAATAACAAAATATGCCTCTCCTCCGTCAAAGAACTATGGCTTGATGGGTCACTTTCTATAGCGAGTGTAACAGAAGCAGCATGATTTGGATGATGTGATGTTTGACATGTATCTCTCGCTCCAGCTGGTCCTACACGAACAGTTTCCTCTTGGGTAGCATCTTTGTCGTTTTTCCCTTGCTCCGATACAGTCAAACCCGCGTTGCCGTCACTCACACGATCTGTTGATCCCCAATCTCAACAACTCAATCCAATCGGAAACGAGAACCAATAATCGGTAAACTTGACTCGCTCGACCTTCCCGAACCAAACCTCCAAACGATCCCCCTTCCGCCCCATTCTCCCCCCAGACAGCTGCCACCTCCGTGCGCGGAGCCCCCTTTGGCAGAACGGGGGACTGCACTGTATTTCCGTGCCTTCTCCTTGGTTTCTGTTCGGATGAGCCCGTATATGCCCTGCCCTCCTGCCCCAACCCAAACCTATCTGCCCTCCCCTCTTCTCCGCCTTCCCCCTCTCCTCCATCAGGGCCATACCCGTACAGTATTCCGCACCGCACCTCGAGAGCTGCCCCGCCTGTCCTTTTCTCGCCTTTACTGCGCCCAACGGTCTTCTTCGCCCCGGGCGCCGTCCTTCCTTGGCGCTACTGTAACCGTCTGCTAATCCCCCTTTCCCCCCCCCGAACCTTATTCCCCCACCACCCCCCCAAAGATGCATCATTCTCGCCACGCCCTTGAAGCTTGTTTCTCAAGTTTCAACCTTCGACCGTCAACATCAGTAGAAGTGCCCAGCACGGCACAAACTCCAGCCCATTTTTCGGCTTCTTCAAGCTTCAAGTGTCTCGTCTAGTGTCAAGTTCTATTCCTCGTTGCCCACCTTTGGTCTCGAAATCGCTCCGTTCTCGTTCACTTTGTCACAAAAAATAAACACCCGCGAGCGCCGTACGAGTTTGCGTCAGCGTTCGAAGTTTAAGACACGCGTAGTTACACTACGCTTTGCAGTAAGAGGCGGAAACCAAGGGTTGAAGCTATGGCGCGTCGCAACACGGGGAAGCCAGTCATCGAAGACGATGACGACGATTGGGGTTCCAACGCTAGGTGGGTTCCCCCCTCCCAGCGCGCCGCATCCGGCGGCGGCGGCGGCGAGCAGACGCTTAAGGACCTCGAGGACGAGGCGCTGCAGAAGAATAGCGAGTTAACGGACGCGACTCTTAATCTCCGACGAATCACAGAGCAGACGAAGGGCGTCGCGGGACAGACGCTGGTGACGCTTAAGGAGCAAGGCGACCAGATCGCGCGTATACACGAGAACGCCGTCACGCTGGACCAAGAAATGGAGAAGGTACGATGGAAGCAGGGCACGCGGTGACTTGCCTGAGTCAACTTCTAATTCGCGCGTATACACGAGAACGCGGTGACGCTGGACCAAGAAATGGAGAAGGTACGATGCTCGTTGCGACGTAGGGCGTGCTCATTGCGGTGCGCTCGTAGCCCGGCGTGTTTGTTGCGACGCGCTCTCCACGACGTGCTCGCTTCGGCGTGCTCTCTGCGATGTGCTTGCTGCTACGTTCTTGTCGTGGGTGTATTCTGGAGAAATAACATAGTAGCAAATTGCTAAACGCGGTAACTTCCTAGTCAACGCAAGAGACAACCCCCTGTGCGCGTCCTGGCGTTCCCGCACCGCGTTGCTCCTCACCGCGTCTCGTTGACGCTTGCCGCGTCTCCTTCTTTCCGTCGGCTGTTTAGCCTCCCCGCTCTCCCCTGCTTCTGAGGCGCCTCAAAAGCCGTCGATTATGTAACCTCACCCTCTCTGCCATGCTTATTTCCGTCTCCGTGACGTGTCCGAGAAGCTTCTAAGCTTGTCATGTTTTCTTCATCTAGCTCCTCCAATTATTTTCGTTCCAAACCAGTAATTTTCTGCAAAAGTTCGTTTCCCCTTTGTCAGTCTTGGAAGCTTCTGGACAAGCTCCCCTTTCCACCCTCCTCCCTCTCCTCCCGGCATCCCTCCCTTCCCTCTCTTTTGTGATCTTGTGACCATTTTTCGTTCCTCTCTTCCCTCTCCCTCTTGCCAGTCCGAGAAGCTTCTGAGCAAGCTCGGCGGAATGTTCTCGTTCGGATGGACGCCGAAGAAGGGTCACAAGATCACAGGGCCTAAGTCTTCAGGTACGGCGATTAAAGACCTAATATCTCATGCACGGAGACTAGTATATGTATGTAATCTTCACTTTTCCGTTTTCCCCTTAACCGCCCAAATCTCCCTCCCCTCCTCCCCCCTCCCTTCCCCTTTCCCCTGCGTGCAGCCAACAAGAAGGACTCGGCATCGGGAGACGCGGCGAGCCGCGAGGGCTTGGGATTGTCGGCGCCGAAAGCGGGCGCGGCACCTCCTAAAGCCAAGGAGGGCATGACAGCAATGGAGAAGATCGAGGTGAGACTGCTACCCGCTAAGGTGACTGTACGCTAGTGTGACTACGGAGGGGCGGCTGAAGGAGGGCACGACGCCTCCTAAAGGCAAGGAGGGCATGATAGCAATGGAGAAGATCGAGGTGAGATGGTTTGGTGGGTGATTGTACGCGAGTGTGACTAAGCAGGGGGGCTCAATGAGGGCCTGACGATTGTAAAGCCACGGAGGGGATGGCATCCATGGATATGATTGAGTGGTGGGTGAGAGAGGGTCCTGATTGACTTGACTGAGCGATTGTATGGGATTCTCAGAATCCACCTGCAACGAATGGAGAATACCTTTGAGACGTCTCAAAAAGCGAGAGAGAGAGAGAGAGAGAGAGAGAGAGAGAGAGAGAGAGAGAGAGAGAGAGAGAGAGAGAGAGAGAGAGAGAGAGAGAGAGAGAGAGAGAGAGAGAGAGAGAGAGAGAGAGAGAGAGAGAGAGAGAGAGAGAGAGAGAGAGAGAGAGAGAGAGAGAGAGAGAGAGAGAGAGAGAGAGAGAGAGAGAGAGAGAGAGAGAGAGAGAGAGAGAGAGAGAGAGAGAGAGAGAGAGAGAGAGAGAGAGAGAGAGAGAGAGAGAGAGAGAGAGAGAGAGAGAGAGAGAGAGAGAGAGAGAGAGAGAGAGAGAGAGAGAGAGAGAGAGAGAGAGAGAGAGAGAGAGAGAGAGAGAGAGAGAGAGAGAGAGAGAGAGAGAGAGAGAGAGAGAGAGAGAGAGAGAGAGAGAGAGAGAGAGAGAGAGAGAGAGAGAGAGAGAGAGAGAGAGAGAGAGAGAGAGAGAGAGAGAGAGAGAGAGAGAGAGAGAGAGAGAGAGAGAGAGAGAGAGAGAGAGAGAGAGAGAGAGAGAGAGAGAGAGAGAGAGAGAGAGAGAGAGAGAGAGAGAGAGAGAGAGAGAGAGAGAGAGAGAGAGAGAGAGAGAGAGAGAGAGAGAGAGAGAGAGAGAGAGAGAGAGAGAGAGAGAGAGAGAGAGAGAGAGAGAGAGAGAGAGAGAGAGAGAGAGAGAGAGAGAGAGAGAGAGAGAGAGAGAGAGAGAGAGTGTTGCACAGTAATCACGCACTAGAGTGTAATCTTTGGGCCCTGAGAGGCGTGGCATGGTATGGCGTGGCATGGCATGACATTGCATGATGTTGCATGGCAAGGCATGGATGGTGTTGCATGGCATGGCATGGCATGGCATGGCATGGTATGTTGTGGCCTTGCGTGGCATTCTATGGCATGGCGTGGCTCACCTCTCTTCACCCCCCCTCTCTTTTCCTCCTCCCTCTCGTGTCCACCTGTTTCCTTCTCGGCCCCCACTACCCTCCCCTGTTCCCCCTCCCCTTTCCCGCCCGCCAGCGTGCATATGGAGCATTTAGTCCCAGGACGAGGTGTTGGACGATATGAGTGACGGGCCCCTGTTGACCCCCCTTCCCTCCCTTGCTGTCCCTTTCCCCTCTCCCCCCTCCCCACACACCGACTCCTTAGATGGAGCGCAAGTTCCAGGACGAGGTGCTGGACGATGTGAGCGATGGGCTGGACGCGCTGAAGAACATGGCCATGACCATGGGGTCCGAGATGGACAAGTGAGTGTGAGATAGACAAGTGAGTGTGAGGTAGGCAAGTGAGTGTGAGATAGGCAAGTGAGTGTGAGATAGGCTAAGTGAGTGAGATAGGCAAGTGAGTGAGATAGGCAAGTGAGTGTGAGATAGACAAGTGAGTGTGAGATAGGCAAGTGAGTGTGAGATAGGCAAGTGAGTGTGAGATAGGCAAGTGAGTGTGAGATAGGCAAGTGAGTGTGAGATAGGCAAGTGAGTGTGAGATAGGCAAGTGAGTGTGAGATAGGCAAGTGAGTGTGAGATAGGCAAGTGAGTGCACATTCCTGCTCGCCCCTGTTTAATGTTGAGCTGTTGGAAACAAAACAGCAAAGAACAGGGGCATGATGGACAAGTGAGCCTGCTTTCTTCCTTCGCCCCTCTCTTGTTGAGCCACTGAAATTGAAACAGCAACCAACATGGCCACGACCCTGGGCCTGGGGTCCGATTTTGACAAGTGACATACATACACCCCTCTTCCCTCCGTCCCTCTCTATGTTTTTGCCTGGAAACCAAGCACGCGCTTTAAGATGCTATTTTCGAGGCGCCTCAATATCGTGAACTCAGTTTTATGAGGCGCCTAAAAGATGGACACGTGCTCTACCCTCCATCTGTCTATCTATGCGTTTGCCCTGGAAACCAAGCACCGTTCAGTGTTAAGATGCTCAAAGGAGTGAACACTGAACAGCTTGCTCCAAGGAGACTTTTGAGTCGACTCAAAAGTGACTTTTGAGTCGAAAAATTGAGTCGGCTCAAAAGTCAGTGTTAAGATGCTCTAGACATGTGCACTGAGTCGAGTTTCTCGACTCGACTCGATCGGGGGACTCGACACGGGTCGAGTGTCGAGTCCGCGAATCCTCTGAAAAAACTCGACCGAGTCGAGTCGAGTTTTACCCGTCGAGTTTAAAAAAAGCTCGGTGAAAGCTCGGCCCCACATCGAGTTTTTTGCAGACTCGACGAGCTTTTGAGGCTCGAGCGAGTTTACGAAAAACTCGGTCGCGACATTGGCAGCAAGGACAAATTGTAAGAATTTCACTTTGGCGGGTTCTTTTTAGATCGCGATTTCAGTTAGTCCTCTTCCTAAGCCCTTCGTAAGTGGAAACTTGAGCCTAGACAGCCAAACTCGTGGCTGGTTTTTCATCTTCAACTTAACTTAGGTCTAGGAAATTGTACATCTCTCAGTTTATAGTTTGTTATTGTCGCGTTTTTCTCATGTGCATTTTTCCGATTAGGGTTTCCTGAGGCAGAATCGCACCTATTGAACGGTAGATCTGGTTTATTTATGATGGCCAAATTTAAGCAAGGGGTGAGTAAGAACCCTTGTACAAAAAATTTTGGTGTTTCCACAGCCCCCGCCGGCCCCCCCCCCTCCTCCCCCCCCCTCCCCCCCCCCCCCCCCCGAGCCGAGTCTTACTCGGCTCGACCGAGTGTAAGAGAAAAGCCCGTCGAGTTTTTTAACACTCGGGCCCTATTTGGCCGAGTCTCGAGTCCAGCATCATGAGAAAAAAACTCGGTCGAGTTTCCCCCGACTCGAGCTCGAACTCGGTCGGGGCTCGAGCCAGACCGAGCCGAGTTTTACTTGACTCGGTCAGTTGCTCATGTCTAAGATGCTCAAAGGATTGAACACTGAACAGCTTGCTCCAAGGTGACTTTTGAGTCGACTCAAAAGTCACTTTTGAGTCGAAAAATTGAGTCGGCTCAAAAGTCAGTATTAAGATGCTCAAAGGAGTGAACACTGAACAGCTTGCTCCAAGGAGACTTTTGTGTCAACTCAAAAGTGACTTTTGAGTCGAAAATTTGAGTCGGCTCAAAAGTCAGTGTTAAGATGCTCAAAGGAGTGAACACTGAACAGCTTGCTCCAAGGTGACTTTTGAGTCGACTCAAAAGTCACTTTTGAGTCGAAAAATTGAGTCGGCTCAAAAGTCGGTATTAAGATGCTCAAAGGAGTGAACACTGAACAGCTTGCTCCAAGGTGACTTTTGAGTCGACTCAAAAGTGACTTTTGAGTCGAAAAATTGAGTCGGCTCAAAAGTCAGTGTTAAGATGCTCAAAGGAGTGAACACTGAACAGCTTGCTCCACACCTATCCCCATCTCAACTCCAAGCATGATGGCACACGGTTATGGCTGTGGCTATGGCTGCCGCAGCGGATATTATTGACACCTCGTCCCCTTTTCTCTCAAGCAGCGATCCCTCAGGTAGCCCACCCTGTTCTCCCCTCTCCCCTTGTATCCACCTCTCATCTCCCCTTGTATCCGCCTCTCATCTCCCACCACCCATCACCCCCCGGCGAGACAAGGTGTTGAATCGAAACATAGGTCAGGTCAGATTATGTTTGCAGGGGTATGGTGATTATGTGACCTGTCCCTTGACGAAGATCAACATCCCTGCAAATCGAAGTGGTGCTGTTGACATCCTCCTCACATGAAACCATTTTTGAGTCGACTTGAAACCGTATGCTGTTGATTTCTGTCACATGGTCAGCTGAAATGAACCTCCCCCGTCCCCCTCCCCCCAGCCCCCCCCCCCCCACCCCCCCCTCCTCGCGCTCACCACCCTCCCACCCACCCACCCACCACCCTCCAGGCAAGACAAAGCGCTGGACCATCTGACGGGCGATTTCACGGAGATCAACAGCCCTGCAGAGTCTGCCGGTAGAGACGATGTTTGCTCAAATTATCCTCCCCTCTCCCTTCTTCCTCACCACCCGCCACTCCCCAGGGAAGACAAGGCCCTGGACCACCTGTCGGACAAGGCCCTTCTTCCTCACCACCTGTCGGACAAGGCCCTTCTTCCTCACCACCTGTCGGACAAGGCCCTTCTTCCTCACCACCTGTCGGACAAGGCCCTTCTTCCTCACCACCTGTCGGACAAGGCCCTTCTTCCTCACCACCTGTCGGACAAGGCCCTTCTTCCTCACCACCTGTCGGACGATGTGACGGAGATGAAGCCCTGCAGATGGAGATGATGCATGCATGAGGCTCAGACTCCCTTCCCCCCAATCCCCCTCTCTTCTCTTCTCGTGCGTGCCTCCCTTCCCTCCAGGCAAGACAAGGCGTTGGACCATCTGTCGGACGATGTCACGGAGATCAACAGCAGAGTGAAGCAGTCCAACAAGCGCGCCGCCAAGCTGCTTGGGAAACGCTAGCCCAAACAGCTGGCCGAGCAACCTTCCGGAACCTCCTTCCCGAGGCATCTAGCCTAGCCTGGGCAGCTAACCCACCCAACACAGCTACCCCCCAGTGTAGACAGTTAGTCTTGCGCTCAAGCAGTGTCGCCTGCTTGTCATCTCTCTCAAATGGTCCGTTGTATTAATTCAGCAGGGGTACAGACATGCAGTTCTATCCATGATAACCTCGTCTGCCTGCTGTTGCTGGTGCTGGTGCTGGTGCTGGTGCTGCCTGCTTAATGTCCTGCTTCTCCCTCATCTCTCCTGCTCCTGCAGCAGAGCAGCACTGCAGCGCTTTTTGAGGCGCCTCAAAAAGCAGCGCTGTTGCTGATGCTGCATCATCTCTCTCGTTGCTGATGCTGCATCATCTCTCTCGTTGCTGATGCTGCAGCTGTGCCGCCGCTGCTCTTTCTCCCCCTGCTGCTATCCTTTCTCCCGCTAGGTAGCTTTGTGTTGCTGTCTGTGGTGCTGCCTGGTGCTGACTTCACGCTCCTGCAGTTTCATACCATGTTGCCGAGGCTTCTATATATATTCCACAGCCCCACTGCACCCTTTTTTTGTTATGTTTACGATACTCGACTCTGGCTAGTTTACTTTGTATACGAATTTCCATTCTCACGTTCACATCAGCAAGAGACGAGGAAATTCTGCGAACAAACACCGAGCAACAATGGGACTGTTTGGATCAAGACGGTAGTGGCAACTGTGGTGTAATAAGCTTCGCTCAGGGCTCTTGCTAACTATTTGGGCTGTCTGATGAAAAAGTAAAAAAAAAAAAACAAGAGGCGACGAAATCGTCTTAGGGTTGCGAAGCAACATTACACTGTTATTTTTAGATACATCTGATCTATAGTGAGAATTATATAATATCGTAACATGACTTTGATATTTGCTGAATCATTGCTATTCATAGATACATGTTTCATGTAATATGGTAGTATACAAATGAAAGGGTGTACATAACAGATGGGTGTGGTTGTTTAGGGTAAGTTATTCTTGTTGTGTTCATATGATTTGGTTTTAGGGTGACTGAAAATCTGAAACAAATAAAACTACAGAAAGGAAAAGCATTTTTTAACCGAACCTTCGGCCATAGTCAGATTCGAACCCCCGACCTTCGCGATAACGACGACGTCGACAGAGCTATGCTATACAACCCATGTTTAGGACTGGCAAAACTTAATATTGTGCTTTAAAGCAATAAGAAACTTCCCATTCTAGGGTTTCGTCACATGTCTTTTCCTCCGTTTCTCTTCCACCTAGTCAGACTACTCTAGCTTCTCCCCGTCCCTCACGCCACTCACGCCACTCACACCACTCAGACTATAACTCCTAGTTAAGGTAAGCCTCATTCTCTCTATTCTTAAGTTCATTCTAGTTGAGAGTGGGTTCTAGTTTAGCTCATTTGGTTGAAAGTTGTTTTTTTTTAAACGAGATGTAGACGTATTTTGTTTCTTAACCTCCCTTTCTTCCTAGGTTATGCACCGTACTTTTGTTCTCTCCTTTATTTCGATTTACATTCTACTTGCTTGCTCTTTTCAGCTCTTGCTCTTACTTTTGTCTTCTTCCGTACGCTGTTTCTTGATTTATTCCTCTTCCTTAATTGAAATTTGACAAGATTATTAACAATTATGTTCAGAGAGTTAAATTATTAGGTTGGAGCATTCTCTTTCTCGTTCTCTTTCTCGTTCTCTTTCTCGTTCTCTCGTTGTCTAGTTCTTTCTCGTTCTCTCGTTCGTTCTCCCTCGTTCTTTCTCTCCCGTTTTCTCTCTCTCTCTCTCTCGCGTTCTCTCTCTCTCCTCTTGTTCTCTCTTTCTCTCGTTCTCTCGTTCTCCCTCGTTTTCTCGTTCTCTCTCTCTTCTCTCTCTCTCTCTCTCTCTCTCTCTCTCTCTCTCTCTCTCTCTCTCTCTCTCTCTCTCTCTCTCTCTCTCTCTCTCTCTCTCTCTCTCTCTCTCTCGTTATTTCACTCTCGTACTCTCGCTCTCGCTCTCGATCGTTCACCCTCGTTCTCTCTCGCTCGTTCCCTCTCTCGTTCTCTCCCTCTCGTTTCTCGTTTTCTCTCTATCGTTCTCTCTCTCTCGTTCTCTCTCGTTTTCTTTCTCTCTCGATCTCTCACACTCTATCGTTCTCCCTCTCTCGTCCTCTCTCTCTCGATCTCTCTCTCGTTGTCTCTCTCTCTCTCTCTCTCTCTCTCTCTCTCTCTCTCTCTCTCTCTCTCTCTCTCTCTCTCTCTCTCTCTCTCTCTCTCTCTCTCTTTCCCTCTCTCTCGTTCTCTCTCATTCTCTCTCTCTCTCTCTCTCTCTCTCTCTCTCTCTCTCTCTCTCTCTCTCTCTCTCTCTCTCTCTCTCTCTCTCTCTCTCTCTCTCTCTCTCTCTCTCGTTCCGTCTCTGTCGTTCTCTCGTTCTCTTTTGTCAAATCTCTCGTTCGTTCTCTCTCGTTCGTCCACTCTCTCGTTCTCGCTCTCTTGTCCTCTCTCTCTCGTCCTCTCTCTCTCTCTCTCTCTCTCTCTCTCTCTCTCTCTCTCTCTCTCTCTCTCTCTTTCTCGCTCTCTCTCTCTCTCTCTCTCGCTCGCTCTCGCTCTCGTCGGTCTCCGTTGTTCTCGCTCAACGTATTTGTTATATTCTTTTCGTTCGTTTACTGTCCCGTTATGTGTTTTTCCCTTTGTTCTCGTTCTTTACTTTCGTTTTATGCCTTAGTACATTTTCTCCTTGTTATTTGTCAGCTCTAACCCTTCAATGCTCATGGCGTTTTTCTTGGCCCTTGTATTGTTTCATTTGTTTCTTCATTATTCATTTTTCTCGTAATTTCATTATGCCTTGTTATTTCCCATTTGCCTTCCTTTCCTCAACCCAGCTTTGTCTTACTTTTCAGGCAGTCGAGCTCAATATGAGGAGTAGACTGATATTGCTTGTGACTTACAGTATAGGATACATAATGTCTTGGTGATTTAGGTTTCTATTTCATCTGCGGTTAATATGCTTTGTTAGTTGGCTTCGTGTGTGCGTGTATGTGTGAATGTGTATGATGATGTGTATGCGTTGTGTTGTGTGCGTATGCGTTTTCATTCATGTTTCTATTGCATTAATAACACATGTCTGTGGGGTTTAAAAATTGGGATCAAACTATCATTTCCGAGAAGGTTCTTTGCGCACTCAGTGAGTGTGTCCATTCGAACTGGATTTGATGGAATCGACCCGTTTTTTAGATCACATAGATTGTGTTGTTTCATGTAACAGTTGGATGATTCAGAAATTATGCTATTGAGCTCCCCCCCATGCTAGGCAGGGGATGCGGTAGCATAGGGTCTGCGTCAATTAACTGTTACGCACTTCCATCATGCTGTGCATTTATTTCATTACCGGTAGAATATGCATTATACTTATGCATTTGCATTTACTTCATCTACTTATATCATCATCAGACATGCATCACGGAATAAACAGTTACGCGTTCACAGTTCATCATTTGGGCGACTCATGTAATATAGGTTCAGTCAAAGTAAACTACGAAATGAGAAGGAATGTGGTTCAGCACATGGTAAATTGACGCGGCAGATACATAGCAGTCAGTCACTTAGCTAGTACGGTACCGTTCACTTAATTTTTTTCATCCTCTATTTTTTAAAATATTGAGGATTGGAAAAAAAAAATTGTACATAACGATCGTAATAGGTTGCTTCGCAACCCAAAAAGTCTGACCATCATATGAGGGATTCAGGGTGATCTGATTTTCAGATGAAATATTTAAGGCCGTTTGTGAAAACGTATGGATAAAGTTTAACGTGCAACTATATTTTGTCCGGATGGCGGAGTTGGTTTATTTGCTATGCGGACTCAGGCAGTCGAGGGATCGACTCTTATGACGAGATTATCGAGCTTCTTTGTTTTCCCTTGGGTTATCAGACAAATGCATCCTCGCTGTCAGGGAATTCATACGAAATATTATCTGTGTTCTGAATAAACATATGAACATAAACAGCTCATCTGGGCTCTCATATGAGCCGCATTTTTATGTCTGCGAGAACATATGAACAACAAAAATGCGACTGAAATATAGACCAACAGACTAAATTAGTCTGATAACGAGAGCCCTGGTGTCGCTGCTGCATATCCAACCTCTGATCCAAATCAGGATAAAACTTGCCATCAGTATATTTTTTCAACTCGGTTAAAGCTGGTTATGTAGGTTGCAGAGACAATAAGCGTGGGTACAGTGCGGTGGCGGACCCACGTTGTGGCCTAAGACAGTCACCTTGCTCCATCACCTTTCTCGCTTCAGCATCTGACACCCTATACAGTAGCTAGTGGTGCAGTTCCCTTTCCCAGTCTTCTTCTTTGAGCAGTGCCAGCAGCAGCGGGAGGTTGGGGATGCGGCCGTGCCTTATGCTCAGCAGGAACTGTCGATGGGAGGGCACTGGGACAAGTGGGAAAGAGGGGGGTTGGGGCAATGAAAAGTGGGCTTTTGAGGTTGGGGATATGGCTGTCTGTGCCGTATGCTCAGCAGGAACTGCCGATGAGAGGGCACTGGGATGCAGGCAAGAGGGGGAGATGGGGGTTGGGGGCAGGAAAAGTGGACTTTTGAGGTTGGGGATGTGGCTGTCTGTGCCGTATGCTCAGCAGGAACTGCCGATGAGAGGGCACTGGGATGCAGGAAAGAGGGGGAGATGGGGGTTGGGGGCAGGAAGAGTGGACTTTTGAGGTTGGGGATGTGGCTGTCTGTGCCGTATGCTCAGCAGGAACTGCCGATGAGAGGGCACTGGGGCAAGTGGGGGGGAGAGAGAACGTACATTTACAGATGCTAACACAGCAATGACTGTCACACTTTTATTATTATCATTATTATTGTTGTTGTTGTTATTATTATTATTACTGTTGTTATTATTGTTATTATTATCATCATCATCATTATTACTATCATCATTTAAATTATTACTATTGTTATTATGGCGATTTCAAGTGCTGCATCAAGACTCACATTTTGATTAAACTGAGAGATCATCACGATACTGACAAAGGCAGACGGAACCCTTGTGAAAAAAATAGTCTGTGTTTCCCTGAAATTTGATGTGAAAGTAACGAGAATCGAGTGTAACAAACTCCGACTCCGCACCCACACCAAAATCAAAGCAGGACGAGTCTTCTGAACCAAAGCATGCACTCACTGACCATCAAGAGGCACAAAGCTGTGGTGTGCAATGGCTTTAAGGTGCTGCTGGGATAGACCCTTGAGTGGCGGCACCAGGGCACTGTGAGGGGCGGAGGGAGAGGGGTGGGAAGGGGAGGAAGGAGGAAGCAAGAGGATGAAGGGAGGGAGGTGAGGCACGCGCAAGCAATGCATTTAGGTGCTGCTGGGATAGAATCTGAAGGGGCGGCACTAGGCCATTGCGATAGGTGGAGGGAGGGGGGATGAGGTGGGGAGGAGCAAGAATGGACGGAAATGAGGAGGGTATGTGGAGGGAAGGGAAGGTGAGGAGTTACCTGAGAGGCAGAATGAGGTTCTGATGGACGGCCATGATGAGACGGAGTGGACGGATTGGACGGCCACGATTGGATGGTAAAGGTTGACAGCCATAGTTTGGGCAAGTGGCGAGGGGGGACCGGGGAGCGTGTGGAGGGGAGGAGAGATGGTGAGCAAGGGACAGAGTGGAAAAACAGATGCACGCATGGGAGGGCGATGCAAGCATGGGACAGCAAGTCAAGCATGGGAGGGCAGTAAGGAGTCAAAAAGTCACCTGCATCACACACTCTCTCTCAAGCACACCCCCTCACTCACACCCTTCCCCACCCTCTCTTCCACACACTTCGAAACCCCCCATACACACCGCTCACTCACCTCCATGCAGACGCTGCTGCTGCACCCCTCCCCACCACCACTGCCCACTCACGTCTCTGTTGCCCCAGAAGTCAAGCGTGCTGATACACACCCTCCACTGCTGCCCATTTCCATCCCCATTCCCAGCAGCAGCAGCAGGTGCCTTGATGAGAGCCATCTCCCCCACATATCGCGAGGAGTAGAACCAGAGGCATGCGGACGCTGCTGCTGCACCCCCCACCACTGCTGCCACTACCACGCTCGTTCCTAACGGAAGAGAGGCCTGATGAGCCGTGAGGGTCATGATGGGTGGTGAGAAGGATGGAGGGGAAGCAATTGGCATGACGGCAGGCAACTGCAGCACGCACACACCTGCACGCACGCACATGGGTGCGGGGAACTAGCATGAACACGCTTCCTGTCGTCCACCTCTCCTCCACGTGACTTTTGAGTCGACTCAAAAGTCACAGGGTGCGGGGAACTAGCATGAACACGCTTCTTTTCGTCCACCTCTCCTCCACTGCCCCACCGACCACTATCCCTCTCTTGCTCCTCCCTACACACCCCTTGCATCCAATCCCAGCAGCTACTGGCCTGGCAAGCTGGTTCTTGAGAACTCACAAAAATTGGCACAGCAAGCGATGCCGCCCCCACCACTATGTGCTCTCCCTTGCACGCTCTCCCCACCCACCCTCTCCCTTAGTGGTTGGCACAGCAAGCGATGCCGCCCCCGCCACTACGTGCTCCCTCTCTCCCGCTGTCTCCTCTCCCTTGCAACCCTCCCCACCCACCCTTTGAAACGCTATCCTGCCCACCCAGCTATCCTGCCTACCCAGCTATCCTGCCCACCCATCTCACCCCTTGCGTCCAGGCAGCTATGGGCACGGCCAGAGACGCCACCCCCACCAGCTGAGCCACCTTGAGCCTGCAGCATGCAGCCAGCACACAGCAGCAGCGACGAGAGTGGGAGAGAGGGCAGGGCAGGGCAGGGCAGGGCAGGGCAGGGAGGCAAACGGGGCGGAAAGGGACGGTCTTCAAGGCGCGTCAACACAACGAATCACACCAGCTGAGCCACCTTGACCCGGAACCATGCAGCACAGAGCAGCGGCGGCGAGCGGAGACATGATTTATGAGCATCACAAACGGTGGTTGTTGTAACAATGGAAAGAGATTTGTACGCATATCCACCCTGCACAACCTCTCTCCACCGCTCTCCACCGCACTCACCTCACCATCAGTCTCAGGCCCCGCATCCACCTTCCCCGGTACACAACAATCCGCTGCTCCTCCTCCACCCCTCTCAACCGCTCTCCACCGCTTCCACATGCCTGCTCCTCTACCCCCCCTCCCCTCTCCCTATGCTGCTCACTTGACCCGAATCCCCCTCTCTGGCCCGCGCCTAGAACCTTCTCCGAACCTTCGTTCCCCACGCTCCCAGGCTGCCCCTCCACCTCTCTACGAGGCCTTTCCGCATTTCCCGACGTTTCAAGCGTCGAAGATAAATGTCGGCGCGCTGCGGATTCTACTAATGAGGAAAATCGCGGCGAGTTTGGAGTGGTCAGAGGCGGGAAAACCGGCCACGCCGCGGGACGTGCGGGGAGGAGCGTGCGCGAATTGAAGGGTCGAGGTGCGATCGCGGCAATTGCGGAATCTCTCAGCCAATAGGAGTTCAGCTCCTGCCACGTGGCTGGACAGGACGGATCTCGGCGGAGACTCGAGGGTTGCGCAGAGCGCGCAGAGTACGCCGAGGCTTGCGGCGGGAGGGCGAGCGGTGCTGCGGGATTGCAAGCGGCAGAGTGCGGTGCAGAGTGGTATGGACTCAAGGCATGTGGTGGTTGCGGGGAGTGTGGCGGAGCTGGCGCGAGTTGCGCGGAAGGGGCGAGGTGCGCGGAAGGCGGAAGGGTGGGGCGCGGAGGAGCAATGTGCGACAAGAGGAGCCGTGCGACGCTTGTGCGAGAGCGATGCGCGTGGGGCGACATATCGCCAGCGATACTGAGTCTATCGTCTATCCTCTAGCGCTTGAGAACAGAGATTACCCAACGACGAGCACTGATGAGGAATGGTGATAACGTGCAGCATTATAGAGAGGAACCGGTTCTCGTTAAGACATAACCCTGTTTCAGGCAGTTGTCATCCTGTAATAACTTCGTTTCAGATATATGTTTACACATTCTTAGCGCAACATGAACATTGCGGATACATAATGTTTCATGGGAGGGCAGGTATGCTTTGCTCTCTTCCCAAGGTTTAAGATCGATTTGAGACCAATGGAACCGTAGAGGGAATCACACATTAGCACGCTAGCAACTAAACTGAACTTCCACCACCATTTGCAATACGTTTCGCAATCGCACCCTAACCGGCAAAATTATTGTACACGACAACGAAAACCAATGCCTTCAAGTTGCAAACAATGTATCTACAACATCAACAATCCATCACATCCTCTATGCAATCAAGAGTACGAATCCACAATCTCAACAGTCCCACCTCCAGCCATCAACAAATATCTATCCCTCCGATCTCTGTGACTGTTGGTAGCCCAAGCCATGGCTCACATCGGTACATGTCAGCACACTACCACCAGCCCGGCCAATTCCACCAACCACCCCAGTCACTGCCACCCCACCCACCAACTGCATAATCCCCACCACACCCCCTCCACCAGCCCCTCCATCCCCACCACCACGACCATGGCCCCAGGACCTCCATGCCCCTCATGCCCTCGTGCCCTCCGTGTCCCTCGTGCCCTCCATGTCCCTCGTGCCCTCCATGTCCCTCGTGCCCTCCATGTCCCTCGTGCCCTCCATGTCCCTCGTGCCCTCCATGCCAGTGCCACTAAACTACCACCAGCCCGACCAGTTGAACCAACCACCCCATCCACTGCCACCCCACCCACCACCACTAGTGGAATTCCCCACCACACCCCCTCCAACCCCTCCATCCCCACCACCATGACCATGACCATGGCCCTCGGGACCTCCATGGCCCCCATCCCCATGGCCAGGACCCTCAGGCCCCCCATGGCCATGGCCATGCCCGTGGTGCCCCTCGCCAATGCCACCACCGTTGTTGTCACCGCCACCAATGCCACCGCCAGAGCCACCACCGGTGGACGAGGTAGCGCATGAGAAGTCCAGGGTGAGCGCACCGCTGCAGTAAGAATCAGATATTGGATTTTGTTAGGAAAGTATTTTGTGAGTGGAAGGGCAGAACAAGAGGGAGAAAACCAAATGCGAGGAAGCCACAGAATTTAACGAAGAAACAAGCGTGTGTTTGGAATTTTGCCAAAATTAAAGGCACCAAGCAGCATTACTCACTCATTCTCTCCGTGGAAGCCGAGAGTCTGTGATCCGCCTTGGGAGTATCCCCAGATGAGTGTGTTGGAGCCGTTCACATTGACTGGTATGGAGCCATCGCTCTGCGTGCGAGAAAACCTGCCAGTGTGGTGCCACGAGGGGTTTTTGAACAAAATCACATCACATGATTATCAGAGGTGCATGAGATAAGGAGGAAGCAGGGGGGAGAGAGGGAGAGTGTGTGTATGTGTGTGTGTGTGTGTGTGTGTGAGAGAGAGAGAGAGAGAGAGAGAGAGAGAGAGAGAGAGAGAGCAATGCTTTCACAAAAAAAGGACTCACTTCATGACTTTAGAGCCACTAGCACTGGTACTCAGCGCCGCACCACTCCCAATACTGAATCCGCTTGTAGGCTGCACATCGCCCAGCCCATACCCGCCCATATAATAAGCCGCCACAGCCCCCCCAGGCAGGTTCCCAATGACAGCATCAGCAGGGGCCATACGGCCGTCTGCAGACCATGCGAGGGCGAACCACCCTGCTGCTGCCGTGCTGCCCGCTGCTGCCTCCAGGGCCAGATTGACTTTGGTGGCGCTGACTGTGTGCCAGTGGAGGGTTAGAGAGGAGTCCAAGGGGGCAGAGTAGGTGTATCCAGCGAGGGAGGAGGCGGCACAGGAGGAAGAAGATGGGGGGGAGGTGGAGGGAGGGGAGGTGGAGGGGGGTGCAGGGGAGGAGGGTGGGGAGGTGGAGGGGGGTGCAGGGGAGGAGGGAGGGGAGGTGGAGGGGGGAGCGGAGGAGGAGGAGCCATCACAGGAGAAGTCAACTGTGGTCACTCCGCTGCAATGAGGGTGAGATGGGCGTGGAAGAGGCATGGAACGAGCAGCAAAGGGGGGACAGAGAATGAGCCAAGGCCGGTGGGACATGAGCCAGGGCCGGTGGGACATGAGCCATCCACGCACTGTAGGTGAATTATTTTTCATGTATTGAAAAAAAAGAGGAAAAAAAAAACAGAGCCGAAAGCATGACAACAAAGGGTGTGTGGGATGGCGATTGAAAGGTGGGGATGGTAGCTCACTCGTTCTCTCCATGGAACCCCAGGGTCTGGGAGCCGCCCTCTGAGAAGGCCCAGATGAGTGTGTTGCTGCCGCCAACATTCACTGGTACGGCTCCATCACCTGTCATGCGGGAGAACCTGACAAGCAGCACACGTGACACACAGGCACATAATTAGAAGTGGCTGATCCCTGGAGAAGCAATAACAGGGACGTGATATGGCAGAGAAGGAGAGGCTCAGGCGAACCATGTACCACATGTGGCAGCATTTGTGGCAGGAGATATAGAGTGCATGGGACCAAATCTGGTGGTTGTGTAGCCATGAATATCTTTAAGCAGATTCTGCAAAAAGAAACACGTACTCGATAACAGTGGAGCCAGAAGCCGATGTAGTTTGAACCGCGTTGCCAATATCGAAGCTGCTTGTAGGCTGAACATCACTCATCGCATAGCCGCTCATGTAATAAGCCGCCACAGCCCCCCCAGGCAGATTTCCTATGACAGCATCAGCGGGGGCCATGCGGCCGTCTGCCGACCATGCCAGGGAGAACCACCCCGCTGCTGCTGTGCTGCCTGCTGCTGCCTCCAGGGCTAGGTTGACTTTGGTGGCACTTGCTGTCTTCCAGTGGAGGGTCAGGCTGGGAAAGAAAGGAAGGAGAGGTGAGGGGGTGGAGGATACAGAAGGGTGAGTTATGATTTCAGAAAGGCAAGGATGACTACACAGGCGTGGCCGTGCTGCCTGCTGTCGCCTCCAGCCCTTGGTTGCCTTTGCACGCACTGGCTGCCTGCCAGTGGAGTGTTAGCCTGGGGAAGAAGGGGGGGAGATGAATCGGTTCAGCGTTAAGAAATGAATGGGGAATGTTGAAGCTGATCAAAGAGAGTTCAGACAGGTCAAATGCCTGGGATTTGAAGGGCACGAGTCATTGTAACCGAAGGGAGGTACAACCCCAATTTGTAACCATGTAACTCACGTTTGGAAGAAATTTCACAGGCAACTCACTCGGAAGAGAGCTGAACGGAGGAGGTGTAGTCGGCAAGGGACGAAGCATCACAAGTGGCAGCAGCGTTGCGGCCTGTCACTGTCACAGTGGCTGCGGTGGTCCTGCTTCCCATGGTGCTGTTTTTCTTCGTCTTCACCACTGCAGCGGACCGTTTCCCCAGCGTAGCAGTCCCCGTAATATTACCAGCTTCTGCAATGTTTGCAGCTGCTGAGTTGGGAATAATCCTAGTAGCTGCTGCTGCTGACCCTTTGCTTCCTGCGGTGGTGACGGTTCTGCTGCCGCTGCTGCTGCTGCTGCTACCACTAGCTGCTGCTGCAGGAGCAGAGCTGCCTGAAACAGTGGATATAGATGCGCCAACTATCCTGCTGTTCACCCTCGCGCGCCACAGGCTGCCAAGAGATGGCTTGACAGCTCCCACGTGATGAGAGAGAAGCTCACGCCCGGGCTTTAGGGCAAGAGCGGAGCTTTGAAAAATGGCAGCCAACATCACGAAGAGAATAATATTCCTGATGCCCATGTTTCGAAATATTAGGTTATTAAGCTGAATGATAGGAGAATGGCGCTAAGTTCAAGCGTCTGGACTGAAAAGGACTTCTAGAAACACGTGCCCTGAAGGTGTGTGCGGAATGGTGCTGTGCTTCTCCTGTGTCGGCTGGAACTGGATTTGGAATTTATATTCTCCTCCACTCACATTCCCTCCATTACTGAAATTTCCTCCCACAGAATTGCACTTGCCCAAGTCGCGCACGCCAATTTGCGACGCGACATCGGAAAAACATCGAGGGCGAAGACATTGTCGGTGGAGATCGACGGCCAATGTTTCTTCTGATGCTGAATGTAAACTGCGGCGAAGGGGTGGATTTCGTGACGTGGCTGCGAAGACGAGTCAGTTCAGAACGAAGACTGGCAATTGGTGAGTGGTCGGTTGGGCTGTGTTGACGAGTCTTTTCTCCAGAAGTCAACGATCCATTCAACCCTGGATTCTTGTACACCGCAATATTTTCTGTACTCAATAATAACATCATAAAATAGTTTTCTGTATCACTCTGGATGAAACAATAACAGAGCAGCTAACAGCGGAGATTCCAATTCCACCAGATTCCAATTTTTGACAGTGCCAGCTGAAATGTGGCTGCTCAAGTCTGCTGACCTACAATCCTTCTTGTATAAACAATCCTCGCTTGGAATGCGGGTAGCTAACTTGTTGTCTTGTTCTCTCGGCAATGCGAATTTCAGGAGTCGCTTTCCGCGCGAGCCTTTTCCGCGGAAGCATTCTCCGCGCGAGCACTTTCCTCCGTCCGCCGTGCGCCCTCCCCAATTTCCTTCCGCATCCGGCGCGATCCGGCGCGTTTCGGCTTCTGTCGCAGGGATGGCGACGGGTAAGGTGGAAGATACCGTCGCAAGACATTCGCACAGCAGACCCGTGCGACAGGCTGGGCGATTTCTGACTCAACAGGAGCTGCTTCGCTTCCCACATAAGTGAGATGGCTGAATTCGAGTCAACGGAACGTACACCAAATATGCGGAACTCAACCAGCAGTTTTTTGGTATTCAACCACCAAATCCGCTAACTGCTATTCAAGCCTCGCCGTCCCCCTGTTTCTACCCCCCAGGCCTCCTTCCGCTCTCCCTTCTCCTTTCCGCTTTCGCCCCTTCCGTCTTCCCCTCCCCCCCCCACCCCCCCACCCCACTCCCCCTCTTTCTCCCCACCTGCCAGGCTCATTCGAGACATCGCCTTTGTCGTCTTCTGCCCGCCGCTGCTGCTCTCATCTGACCAAGTACGCCCATGCAACCAATCACCACGCTCTGCTCCCTCTCCCACGGATGCATCCACCACGTCCCCCCTTCGCCTCCCCTCCCCTTCCCTCTTTCCTCCTCTTCCCTCTTTCTCCCCCACTCTCCTCTCCTTCGCCTGCTTCTCCCATCTGATCAAGTACGCCTTGGCCCTGCACCCGCCACACTATACCCTCCCCCACATGCACCCGCCACACTCTACCCTCCCCCACATGCACCCGCCACACTCTACCCTCCCCCACATGCACCCGCCACACTCTACCCTCCCCCACATGCACCCGCCACACTCTGCCCTCCCCCACATGCACCCGCCACACTCTGCCCTCCCCCACATGCACCCGCCACACTCTACCCTCCCCCACATGCACCCGCCACACTCTACCCTCCCCCACATGCACCCGCCACACTCTACCCTCCCCCACATGCACCCGCCACACTCTGCCCTCCCACACATGCATCCATCACGTGGCCCTGTTTTGAGCTGCCTCAAAACAAGACCCGCCTCACTCTGCCCCCTTACCCCCCCACCCTCCACCCCCCTCCCCCCACCCCTCCCAATCCCCTTCGCTCCCGTCTCTTGCTCCTGCCAATTTCTTTCCCTGCTGCTCCCATCACACCAAGTACGCATTGCCCTTGCAACCACCACACTCTCCTCTCCCCTGATCGCTGCTCTCCCCCCCCCCCCCCCCCCCCCCCTCCCCTATCTCCCGTATCATTCCCCCTGATTGCGCCACTTACCAGTGGTAATCACCCACAACTCTTCCTCTCTCTCCCTCCTCTCCCTATTCTCCCCCCTCTCCCCGTTCTCCCCTCTCCCCCGCTTCTCTCCCCTGTTCTCGCCAGTTACCAGTGGTGGACCCACACGTCTTTGCCAGCAATTCTTCCCTCCTGATGCCCACCACCCTCCCCAACTCCACCTCTACTGATCACCATGCTCAATACACTAACCCACGTGGCTGTAATAACAACCAGTCAAGTAGTGTCAATCCATGTGACAGTGACGAGATGGACGGTCACGATGCGATGCTAGCTTGGCTGGAGTCTCTGGATGAAGGACACGTGGCAGCATGGTTCAGGGAGAAGAAGCAAAGTGCCCGATTGGGCGATCACTATGCTCTCTGCATCCTCTTTGTTCTCACGTTCGGCCCGAACCTGAAGCCTCGGGATCTCCGAACATCCGTCCAGGTCCATGTTTCAGAGGCTCGGGGGAAGCCTACCCGCCTCATCTTTCCCGAACCAGGCACCGAGACTGACAAAAGCCTGTCCGAACCTCTGCCTGAATCTGAATCATCTATGCTCAACATGACACCCTCCGGGCTGTTAAAACCGGGTCCAGACCATGCGAAGTTACCGAGCTTAGAGGGCCTTGGTGTGCCGAACCTCGAGCTGGCTCCACCTCGGCCGGAGCTGGAGTTTCCGGAGCTAAGGCAGATGGGCAGGCGGGCTCGAAAGCGATTCCTGCGAGAATCGAGGGACAGAAAAGGACGAATCCAGACGGTGGGGGAGTTTGATGTGCTGTTCACACTGCCGCCCCACTCTCCCCCTCCTCAATCCCTCTCTCCTCCTTCTCCTCCTCCTGTTTCTCCACCTCCTCACTCTCCTGATCATTCTCACTCTCCCGCCCTATCTTTGAAGAGAGTGGGGGTGTATGGTGTGAAATCAGCTGCTGATGGTGCCGGTGACGCGGATACAGCTGGTGTTGCAACTGTTGATGGCAGTGCTACTGCGACTGCTGCTGCTGTTGCGGCTGTTCAGTCTCCTGCTGCTGATGCTGACGTGCCATCAAGTGCTGCTGTTGCTGCCAGTGGTGGTGGGGATGCCGGGGATGCCGCTGGTGCCGCTGCAGCCCCCGTGCTCCACCATTGGGAACTTTCAGTGAAGTTTCTCCTCTTTGTGGGCTCGTGGGATGATGCTCTATCCATCTTCTCCCGCGGCTTCCCTCCATCTGAGAGCGACTGTAGCAGCAGCTGTAGCAACAGTAGCAGCAGTAGGAGCAGTAGCAACAGTAACGGCTGTAGCAGCAGTGACAGCAGTAGCACAAACGACAACAGCAGCATCAAAGAAGCTTCACCTGACCCTGAGTGGATGCTGGGGCAGTACCTGGGTCCCCACGTGGGTGAGTCCCTCCGCAAGGCAGGAATTCCACCTGAGGTCATCCCACCTGAATTAGTCCCACCTGAGGAATCACCTGACCCTGAGTGGCTACTGGGGCAGTACCTGGGTCCCCATGTGGGTGAGTCCCTCCGAGACCGCAAGGCCCGGTTAAGCCGCCAGCTGCAGCTGGGGAGGCAGGGTCATGGCGCCCAGCTTATAACGAGGATGTATGGTGCAGTGGAGGGTGGCGGGCCAACAGATACGGGCTTAGGATCTTTTCAAAAGGAGAAGGCTGACGGAGAGTATGGTAGGGATAGCTGTGGAATTTTGCAAAATGGCAAATGCAGGAGCGGGGGTCGTGAGATGTCTCGGAAGGAGAATACTGAATCTTGTGCGGGAGGAGGGAATGAGGCCTGTGGGGAGGAGGAGAGTGGGGGGAGTTTGTCCTCGTTACAAGCAGCTGCACTGTTACAGGGGTACCTGTTCTATGAGTATCCCCTGTGGTTGAAAATGAGAGAGATGGAGACGGGGCAGCGAGGGAGGAGTAGCAAGGGCGAGACGGCACTGACCACAGCAGAGACAACCGCAGCAGAGAAAGCAAAAGAGCCAGCAAACGCAGCAGCAGAGGCAGCAGCAGAAGCAGCACGGGCAGCAGCTGAAGCAGCAGAGGCAGCGGCAACAGCTGCAGGCACAGCAGCGGCGCCATGCACTGGTGTGTTTCCGTGGCACTGGCATGGGTGGTGGACACATGATGCCGCAGCGGTGGTCCACCACCCGAGACATGTCCATTCCCGCTGGTACATCCTTCCCAAGGCGGAATGGCTCTCACCTGTCATTGTCCCAGTCCCAGATAGAATCTCCCCCACGTGGCCACAGCATCCAGTTACCACCTCCCCTGGTCCCCGCCTGGATGATATCTCCCCTGGTGCTGTTCCTGACCCAGGTGCCACCTGTCAGGATGCCGAACTAGGTGCCGGCTTTGCAGCGCGGCCCGACGGGATTGCAACGCCATTGACGGGAGTCGTTTTGCTTGAAACGATTCACAGGTGTTCTGAGGATGCTCGATCAAGGAAGCTTCCCCGGAAGCTCCGATTTCTTGTTGCTGAACTCCGGTGGGACCCAGAATACTTGACCTCGAAAAATATACGCGTAATTGATAGTTCTATTGATAATGCATGTGATGGGTTTGGGAATGGTGAGGAAAGCGGAGCTTGGGTTGAAGTTAGCAGAGGATTTATTGTGGAGGAGGGCTGGCCTGACAGTCGAAGCCATCCTCCACATGGGTTTGTTTGGAGAGAAGGACGTGGCACTCCCTTTTGGTGATGTGTACACAACATATGTTTGTTTCATTATGAAAGGGCCCTTTACGTTTTTTGGATTCGAAGCTCTGCTTTAGCTCAGTACAACAGAATTTGAAGCTGACACAAGCGCGTATCCAGCTGCGGCCGCGCGAGCGCCACAGCAAAGGGGAGGAATCAAAGATAGTCTCCGACACTTGTGCGACCCTTGTGTTGCCCAATCAGGAAAATGGTTCTTCTTGGTTTGGTCAAGCCATGTGCCCGGCACGCCGAACCAGTACCTGATTCCCTTACCTGACCATAACAAAGCTGTGGTCTCGCCACGGGATTCCCGAGCCAGCGGTTTTGCGATGTCGGCGCCGCCTTCTTCATACACGCGGTCCTGAATGCTGCTCTGCCATAGCATGATTGCGCGTGGCACGCGAAAGTGCTTCTGTGAGTGGTGTCGCGAACCTTATTGTGCCACGTAATGGTTGGCTGTCCGTCATTTGCGAACACCTCTCGTCAACTGCAACGATTCCGTAACATTTCGTCACCACTTTCGTCACGATCTCAACTCAACTCGTCCAGCCCTGGGCGCCGCTTAAGCTTGGGGAAGGGGTACACCCCCAGATGTGCCCTGTACCGAGTCGCTGCTGACTGTGTCCCCTAGCCCCTACAAGCCTACTTCCACCAATGAGCGCTTTACGCGGCTCCGCATAGCGACACGCGTCTGTTGCAAACAACCTGGTGCGCCAAGAGTCATCGCACACATCACATCAACCCCACTCCCCCTCCTTTCATCTCCCTTCCCCCTCCCCCTCTTCTCATTTTTATTCCCCACCGCCGCCAGTCCCTCCTTCCGCAAGATCCAGACCAGACCTTCCCCCACCTCGTTTTCTCCCTAATCACCCCGCCCCCCACCTTCCCCGCGCCCCGCTATTCCCCTTTCTCTAGGGCGTGTCTTTCTTGGCGGAAGTACATTATTTTTGTGTTTGTTACCTGATCACATCTTGTAACATATGTCTTTTACGAGCCGAACAGACAGTTACTTCTGGATTCGTTTCTGGCAGCGACTTTTTTACGTATCCTAATTCGTGTGCAGCACGTGCCATGCACTCCGAGTACAGAACATGTACACACATATTTCGGGGTTTGCCGAAGTGTTTCCAGGCATGCGAAGCTCGCCAATACGGGTCTAACGAAGACAACCGAAGGCCCGAGGGCGATTTTCTCATGGCACGGGCGTGAGAAAATCCCGCAGATTAAGCAACGAAGCTCGCAGTGCTACAGGGTTACCGCTCGTGACTTCTGATATGCCACAGGGTTTGTGTTTGGGCGGGACTGTATGTCCGCATGCAAAAAAATGGGTTCGCGTCAGGCAGACACAAACCATTTTCGGTAGGTGCGGGCAGCACATTTGGGAAAAATAACAATTACGTAAAAAAGGTGTAATCCCAATATACACCCTGCAAGACACGCCCTTACCCCCCAAACCAACCCAATTTTGTCCATCGCCCCCAATTTCTCCTGGTGCCCCTTCGTCTCTGCCGCCGCCCCCCGTGTCTGTCGATGTGCGTCGCACTTGCACACCCTCACGTTTGCACCCCAGACTTCTCATATCAGAAATTCAAAGAAGCTCTTGAATCCCATTCTGCTCAACGAACTCCAACCCAAACGCGGGTGTGGTTTCTCAGTTGGAGTTTGCAGGAGAGCCATTCTTGCTGCCGCTCCTCCCTGGACGCGCGCAGCCGCTCCCGGCACCTCTTCTTCCAGTCGTTCCGCCGCCGCCAACCTACTCGCTCTCCACATGGCCGCCTGGTCAGCCAGCGCCTCGCGCGCGGGCCGCGCAAGCCTCCGCGCAACCATGACCGCGCTTCCGCTGCTGCTCTCGCTGCTGCTCGTCCACTCGCACACCGCGCTCGCCGTAAAAAACGCTCCGCCTCCGCCTCCGCCGGATGCGCTCTCGTTCTTCTTCCCGTTCCTCACCATGGGCTCCATCAACCGCGGAAACCTCCGCTTCGCCAGCCCGCCTCCGCCTCCGTCTCCGCCTCCGCCTTCTCCTTCTCCGCCTCCGCCTCCGTCTCCGCCTCCCCCTTCCCCGCCTCCGCCGCCCGTGCAGCATAGCTCCGCGAAGTGCGGCCCGTCATCGCTCGCCGCCAGCGGGTTTACCTCGTCGAAGGTCCTCGCGCCAGGGTACGTTCCGAGTCCCGTTAACTCGCTGTTCTCAGCGCCTCAAAGCTCGCGCCAGCGTATGTTTGGAGACGCATTTCATCGCGCCTCGCATGTCCCGACATAATCTGAAACGCGCAAATGATGGATTTTTAACGAAGGTGATTTATCGAGTGGACTATAAAATCAACTCTACTTACGTGACAGTGATGATATGCAGGAAAGACTTCGGTGTTTTAATAAACACCCTCGCTCCGTTGCTTCATTCGTCGTTGCTTCTATTTCATGGCATACCATGCGCCTCGCTGGGGGACACACGACATTGATATGGCATGACGACCCACTTGTTATTCCTCGCCAAGATCTAAACACCCACCTCCTCTTTCTCCGCTTCCTCCTCTCCTTCCGTCTCCTTCCGCTCCCTTCCGCTCCCTCCGCCCCTTTCCCTTCCCCCCGCCTGCCCTCCCGCCCTTGTCCGTCGCGCAGACTCATATGGCATTGGCGCTCGTCCTCCGCGGAGCCTCACATACCATTGGCGCGCTTCGTCCTCCTCGGAGTCTCACGTGGCATTGGCGCGCTCTGCTGACTCTGAGTCGACTCGAAAGTCATTCTTTCTGCCCCTCGCCCCGCCTACTTGTTTTTGCGCAGACTCACGTACCATTGGCGCGCTTCGTCAGGCTCGGTGGTTCAAATGGCGCTCGAGGCCGACCCGACGCGATCCAAGGGCTGGTTCGGCGTCGGCTGGACCGCCACCCAAAACGGCGTCAAAACCGACGCGGTTTTCGCGAACGTCGCGAACGGCGAAGTGAAGCCTTTCACGACGATGAGCGTCACCGCGCCGCAGATGCAGGGCGGCGAGACGCGCATGACTATTATGACGCAAACGAACACGCTCAGCATCGGGAGCGCCGGATCCGTCGGGTTCGGCGACAGCACCATCGCCTTGTGAGTACACCGCGCGTCGCTAGCTATCGCCGACATGGCATCGTTCATAGTTGTCACTACGCCATTTCGCCAATGTTCCCGTTCGCGATTTCGTCAATACCGCCATTTCCAGAAAGTGTGCGCCTTCTATGGCCACTCCCTGTTCCTTTTCCGTGCTCTGTTTTTTTGCCCTCTGTGGCCTTAGCCGGTTATTCTAACTGATGCCCTGTCTACTGACGGCTTACCGTCTAAACTGACGGCCGAAATCCTGACTGACGGCCGACTGTTTGGCTGACGATCAAACCAATGTCTGACATCAAATGTCGCGCCTTGATGTGTCCGTGCTTCACTCTGTTTGTTTTCAATGTCTCAGGTTTAGCCGAACCGAGGGGACAGGCTCGGTGACGTTCCAGTCGTCTGGACCTATGAACTTGGTTTGGTTCCTCCCGAGCCGGGACGGGCAGCCAATGGGGAGCAACCCGACTCCAGCGTAAGCAGAAGGGGGGAGGGGGGAATGGGGAAAATGTGGGAGAACGGGGGGTGGCGGAAGGGACGGAGGCGGGAGAGGGGGGAGGGGAATGTGTTAGAATGGGGACGGGAAGCGGGGTGACATTAGGGAAGGGGGAAATCGAGGTGAGAGAAACGGACGGACGGGAACGGGAAGGGAGAGAGAAAGGGGTGGATTGGATGGCTGAAGGGGGGAGGAGGAAGAGCGGGAAGTGAGAATACGAAAGTGTCGTTTCCCTCTCCATTCCCCCTCCCTCTTCCGCTTCCCGTTCCCCCTCCTCCCCTCCCCCAGCGGTTCCGCCCAGGTGGACTATTCCTGGACACTTGTTGCAATGCGACACTATTCATGGCGTGCGACACTATCGTTACGGCGCCCATTCCCTGCCTCCTTCCCTCTGCTGCCCATTACGGCGTCCCCCCCCCCCCTCTCTCCCCCTTCCCCCACTTCCTCCCAGTGGGTCCGCGCAGGTGGACTACGCGTGCAACGGGCTCATGGAGGGCAGCGCCGTCGTCATGGCGCCCTGAAGCCTCATGTTCTGCCTTCCCCCCCCCTCTGTGCGTGCCTTCCCCCCCCCTCTGTGCGTGCCTTCCCCCCCCCTCTGTGTGTGCCTTCCCCCCCCCTCTGTGCGTGCCTTCCCCCCCCCTCTGTGTGTGCCTTGCCTCCCCCTCTGTGTGTGCCTTCCCCCCCCCTCTGTGTGTGCCTTCCCCCCCCCTCTGTGTGTGCCTTGCCTCCCCCTCTGTGTGTGCCTGCTCTTCCGCCCTCCTCCCAATGGTTCCTCTCAGATAGACTCTACTCGTGCAACGGCCTCATGGCGGGGGAGGGGACGCCACCGTCATGGCGCCCTGGAGCCTCACGTCCAGCCTTCCCCCCCCCCCCCTTCCAGTGGCTCCGCGCAGGTGGACTACTCGTGCAACGGCCTCATGGCGGGGGACGTTACCGTCATGGCGCCCGCGCCCACACATTCAGCGACTCCCCCCACCCTTGCTCCCCAACCCCCCCCCTCCGCACTCCCCCCAGTGGTTCCGCGCAGGTAGACTACGCCTGCAACGGCCTCATGGCGGGGGACGCCACCGTCATGGCGCCCGCGCCCGCCCCCTCCCCCGACTCGCCTTCCCCCCCGCCTCCCCCCTCCACCACGCCCTCCCCCCCGCCCCCGTCGGGCGGAACCCCCCCCACCAAGGGCGTGCTGTGCCCCGCGTCCACGTTCGATGGATACGAGTATCAGCTGGAGCTGGGCAGTGGCAAGTGAGTGCGGATGGGACTGTGTGTGGGTGTGTCTGCGGCCTGTAGTTTCTTTCCAGCCCTCCCCTCCCCCGACCCCTCTCCCCCCCCCCCCGCCGTCCACCTTAGATGGATATGAGTATCAGCTGGAGCTGGGCAGTGGCAAGTGAGTGCACGTGGGGGCGATGTGAGACTGTGTGTGTGGGTGTGTGAGTCCGTGTGAGTCTGTGTGTGTGGGTGTGTGAGTCCGTTTGAGACTGTGTGTGTGGGTGTGTGAGTCCGTTTGAGACTGTGTGTGTGGGTGTGTGAGTCCGTTTGAGACTATGTGTGTGGGTGTGTGAGTCCGTTTGAGACTGTATGTGTGGCTGTGTGAGTGTGTGTGCGCGCGCACACGGGCAGGCGTGTGTGCGAGAAAGAGTGTGCCAAGAGACGAGGTGAGTGTGTGTGTGTGTGTGTGTGCTGGAACAAACCAACCAGCCAGCCTCTCACACTGTTGATCTCACACTGTCCATCTCACACTGTCCATCTCACACTGATGATCTCCCAGCCAGCCTCTCACACTGATGATCACTCAGTAGCCACAAGCCCGCACCACTCTATTCTTTCCTCTACCGTTCATCACAGTCACCAATTCACGCCATTCCCACTTCTCACCATCCCCCTACCCTTCCACCCCCCTCCACCCCTCTCCGCCACCCTCCAACCCTCTCCACCCCTCTCCATCCCTCCAGCTACCTGCTCCACTGGAAGTTCGCCTCCAACACGGTCATCAACTTCCTGCTCGAAGCCCGATCCAACACCATCATCAAAGACGCGTGGATGGCCGTCGGATTCTCCAAAAAAGGCAAAATGAAGGGCTCGGATGCAGTCATCGGGAACCTCCCGGGCGTGGGCGCGTTCTACATGAGCGGTTACCGCCTGAAGGACATCCAGCAGACGTCACTCCCCCTCGGGACCACGTCGGTGTCGACCACGAGTGAGGGCGGCACGTCCATTGCGTTCAGCCGCACGGTGGGCACGGGGAACGTGCCGCTGAAGCTCAACACCACCAGCTACCTCATCTGGGCGTTCGCCCAGACGGTCACCAAGAAGCTCTATTTCCACGGCATGAACCAGTGAGCATGGGGGAGATGGGGGTGATGGGGGTGCTGTGTTCACCTGTACAGTGTTGGCGCAGACGGTCACCAATTAGCTCTACTTCCATGGCATGAACCAGTGAGATCTGAGATGGGGGAGATGGAAGATATGGGGATGAGATAGAAGATATGGGGATGAGATGGGGGAAATGGGGATGAGATGGGGGCGATGGGAGAGATGGGGATGAGATGGGGGCGATGGGAGAGATGGGGATGAGATCGGCGCACTCGTGTACTGTATTTACACCTCTGTTCCTCCCCCCCCACGCCCCCCTCCCCCCACTTCTTCCCTACCCCACAGGGGCGGGTATGCACTGGACTGGGCGTGCTACCAGGCGCCCAAGGCCCTGTGGGGCGGCGGGCCCGACTACGACAGCGATGACTCGGATGTTGACAAGGACTACTCCGGCGGCCCCTGGCAGGGCGCCAGCCTCCCCACTGATGCTGCTGCTGGTGGTGGCCTCACTGCCACTCTTGCTGATCAGGGGCAAACCAGCAGTGCAGGTGCAGCTGGTGCTGCTAGTGCAGATGCTGCTGCTGGTGCTGCCGATGCTGCTGTTGCTGGTGCTGGGAATCGGAAGTCGGGAGTGAGCTTCTATGATGGAGCGGCGGGGCATTCGAATGGCGAGTGGTGGCAGGAGAGGAGTCCTTGAGGTTGGTGTGTGTGGAAAGGTTTGGGTTGGGTAGCGGCTTGGGAGATGCTGGGGAGATGCTGGTGGAAAGGGTGGATACATGAACGAGTCTAGCTCTTTGTAAGATGCATGTCTTGTGCTTTGCCAATTATGCAGGTTGCAGGAACATATAGGCCGTAATATAGCTGTCTGTTTGGCCTCGGAATGCTTTTAATGCTGCTAGAGTTATGGCATCTTGATCCCATGCCTAGTCCTGATTTAGCATTCCCTTCCAAATGCACTGAATGCTAACCAGTCGATTAATATTGTATGGAGACTGGCTTTGGTGCATCCAGGCAAGCTAGGGACAGACCGAGCTCAGGACGCGTCACAATTGCAACACCGGAGAAGAATCTAGATCACGCACCGAAGCTATGAGCGACGATCGCCACTGAGCCACATGTGTAGCGATCGCCCCCAGAGGCCTTCTCAGATGTCCGAGTCCACGTGGGTCCGGCTCGGACCTGACGGACCAGCTCAAGAACCAGAGCGTGAACCAGGGCGGGCCGGAACCAGGATGCGGGGCTTGTAACCCCGCTATACCGTTCGAATGGCACTAAAACGGTGCCATTTATTTGGCCCTCCAGATCAGTCCGCGCCTGGTCCGTAAACAGTGGGTGGTGAAACATTTTTTTCTTGTTTTGTAAGTTTCGCGTGAGACTTTTGTGCAGACGAAGAAAAAGGGTAACTCAATTTCAAATTCGTCGCTACTGCTGTATCTCGCAAATAATGTGCAGCCCGAAGCGCAACGCATCAGGCAGACCAGTCCGTGTCTGGTCCAACACTGGTCCGCCAAGTGGGTCCGTCGGACCAGAACCCCGTACCAGGCGTATAGACTCTGGTTGCGGACCAGATCCAGCGGACCCTTCAAATGAGACACGTCTTCAGGTTCCTTATTTTGTGGGTTAGAGACGTTTAGGTGAGTTTAGAATGCATACGCCTGGTTTAAGTGCAGTGACAGATCGATATCCTAAGATCGACCATGAGAAACTACTTTCGTCTTCGCGACAACTAAAAAGGGATACACGACAACGCGAATTTACTGCAAACCCGAACACCGAACCGCTGCAGGTTCGGTGTTGCAATTGTGACGCGTCGTCAGATTGAGCGAGGCTGGTTCAGCAGCGTGTGATGTGATTGGTGGTTTGGGTTTGGTGGTGTGGGATCTCTGTGGGCGCTGTGTGGGTCTGGTGTGGGCACTGCGAGTTTCGCGGTTATGACATGTGAACAGTGTGTGTACGAAATGTGTTGGCAGGATGCTTTTCGCAGAAGAAGGCGAGGCGACGCGCTCACTGGGCGGCGATGACGAAGCCACAACTTACAGCCGCCAAATCTCTGGAAGCCAATCAGTGGCTTTTCATCGCCCCTACCTTACCTTCCCGAACGAGCCTTGAACTTCGAAGCTAGATTTGGGAAGCACAGTGCAACGTCGACCACGTCAAGACAAGAATCAACTTTAAAACATCCTCAACCTTTCGTACGTCACTTGCTGCTTTGCCCCGCCACCCCAAACCTGTCTAGACTCTAGACTCAACACTTCCCCCAACCAGCAACTGCAACACTCGGCTCGGCTCAATACAGTATGTACGCCCCCTTTTCGGCCTGGTTCACGAATCGCGCGGTTTTGATTCCGAACTTACGGAGTTCTTGTTTCTCCTGTTGCAAATTCCTCAACCTCAACAAGAAAAGCAAGAAGCAACTCAACTCCCCGACATCTGTAGTAGACCTTGACAGCATTGTTCAGCAAGAATCCAGCTCGAGGGGTCTCTTCCCCCACTCCCCCACCCTGTGATGGACCCTGGCTTCTCCAGTGCTTCGTCGCTCCCTTCGCCGAGTTTCCTCCAGTGCCTCTTCGCCGTGCCACGCACACATCGACCAAGCTACGACCGCCCGATAGATCGTCCGAACTGGGCTGATATTGGCAGCGAGTCGCTGGTAGAGAGCGTCGCAGTGTCGTCTCGTCGTCACTGGGCTGGTATCGCCCCTCCAGACACACCTGGAGCGCTTTTTTTTTCCGCCATATCGCCCCGCCATATCCTCTCGCCTTCCACCAAGTCGTTTCGCCCCGCCATCCCATCTTTCCGCCCCATTTTCGCCCTCAAACATATCTGAACCATCTCTCAAACGCATTTCTCTGCGCAATGGCCAATCAGCTCCTCGCGCTTCAGCTCACGCTGCTCGTTATAATCACAAACTACGCCTCCTCCGCCGCCGCCGTCGCCGCGCCCGCCCCTCCCCCCCCCGCCATTTCGTCCTTCTTCCCGTTCTCCATCTCCGTGGGGTCGATTGAAGGCGGAAAGCTCTTTTTCGGCGGCACGGAAACGTTGAAGCCGGGAGCACCGAAAGTGGCGGCGACTTGCAGCGCTTCGAGCCTCAGCGGCTACACGTCGTCGAAAACGCTGAAGGCGGGGTATGTTTGTGTCGTCTTTGAGACGTCTCAAAAGGGGTATGTTCGTGTCGTTTTTGAGAATTTCCAATAGCGCTTCGGGCCTCAGCGGCTACACGCCGTCGACAATTCTGACAGCAGGGTACGCCGCAATGCGTCATCCGCCTCTATGAGCGCATGCCGAAGATATTCGAAAATCGCGAATCGCGAATCGGACTTCGAGGATTTGAGATTCACATCGCGTGTCTTCCGGCGTTCTTTGCCGAGGAAACTAACTAAAGAAAAGATGCCTTGCATACTTTGTGGATCTTTCGTTTTGCCACCACTAAGTTACGATCCTATTAAGCTTCGCGGTTCGAAAACTTCGTTTAATTAAAAAAAAAAACATCGTACACTATCGAGATCCCCTTATTCTCTGCGCCTTCCTCCCGTCCATCGTATCAGCTACCTCCCCTTTTGCTCATTCGCCCCCTCTCCTTGTGCCACTCCCTTCTATCACCTCCCAATGTCCGCGCACTTGAGTGCGTCACCCCTGGTAGCGAAAGACGAGATTTCAAGGCACCTCAGCGCCAATCGTGTTTCCGTCCCCCCCTTTTTTTTCCCCTAATCCCTTCCGCCTCTCTTTTTCCCTCCCCCTCCCCCGTTCCGCCTCGCCCCTCCTTTCCCGCTTCACCCCTCCCCGACCGCCAGCCTCGTCCTGCACTGGAAGGCCACAACGGGGACCACCGTCGACATGGCTTTACAAGCCACGTCAGCAGGCGCGTCGGGCGGGTGGTTCGCGGTGGGGTGGTCGCCGGGGGGGAAGATGTACCCCGCGGACAGCGTGATCGCGCACAAGGCGGGCGCGGACATTGGCGCGTACACCATAACGGGCTACGACAGCTCCAACGTCGTCGCCACGACCGCCTTCTCGCTCGGCTCGCCCGCGTATTCCGCCGGACTTGCCACGTGCGTTCAATTGCACTGCCGTGAGTGTTATTCATTCTGCCACGTCGTTTCGCCCTTTTCACGTGTTATTCATTCTGCCACATGCCATGCTGTCTGTTAGTAAACTTGTGTTATGTTCCCCACCATTCCTGTGGTCACCTTTTTCAGTTCACATGCGCTCCTCACCTTTCCCTAATTTAGTTCTCTCCCCTCACCCCCCCTCTTTCCCCTCTCTTCTCTTCTCTCCCCTCCCCCCTCCTCTCTCTCCTCCCGCTCCTCCCTCATGCTCCACCTCTTCCCCCACACGGCGAGAGCAGGCAGCAAGGTGACGTTTGTCAACGGACCCATGAAGACCATCTGGCCTACTCTGAAGGCTCCACCACCACTCCCCTCCCACCTCCTCCTGCTCTACCCCCCTCACCCCTCCCTCCAACAACTTCTCCCGCACGGTGGCCACGGGCAGCAGGATCAACTTTCGCTCACTCTCCCCTCCCCATCCCCCTCACCTTTCGCAAACATCTCTCCCCTCCCCCCCTCCCCCCCTCCCCCCTCCCCCCAACAGCTTCTCCCGCACGGTGGGGACGGGCAGCAAGGTGACGTTCGTGAACGGACCCATGAAGACCATCTGGGGCTACTCCGATGGAGCCACCACCTCATTCGACGGCCACGGGGGCAACCGCGGCAGCACCACCATCGATTTCTCCTGCAACGGGACCCCCGTTGCCACGCCCTCCCCTCCCCCCGCCTCCGCCAACCCCTCCCCCCCGCCTCCCCCCGCTGCCTCCGCCTCCCCGCCTCCCCCTGCCTCCTCCGCCTCCCCTCCCCCCCCCACCGCCACGCCGTCACCCCCCCCTGCGCCGCCGGCTGCGGGAGTGGCGTGCCCGGCGTCGGCTCTGGAAGGGTTTGACTACCAAGTGGAGCTTGGCGGGCCGCTGTGAGTGATGCACGGAAAGGAGGGGGGTGGCTCTGTGTGGCAGGCAGGGTGAAAGGGTGGGATGCGAGGGGTGCAGGGAAGTGGTGAGGCTGGCTGCGGGTGTGGCGTGCGTGGCGTCAGCTCTGAAAGGGTTCACCTACCAAGTGGAGCTTGGGGGACCGCTGTGAGTGAGAGGAACGGGAGTGACAAGGGAAAGGGGTAAGGTGTGAGTCTCGAGCATTGAGGGAGTGGCGTGCCCGGCGTGGCTCTGGAGGGGTTTGACTGTGAAGCGGAGCTAGGGGCTGTCAAGAGAGGACAGGTGGGCTGCGGAGGCCTGTGAAGCGGAGCTAGGGGGGCCGCTGTGAGTGATATGGGTGTGTGGGTGGGTGGTGAGGGGAGGGAGTGTTTTGTGAGCGGGGGGAACGCTGTGAGTGAGAGGCAAGGAAAGGGGTGGGCTATGAGTCTCGTGTGGTATGTGAGTGGTGCAGTGAGAAGGTTGTGAGTCGAATGCACCAGCATGCATCACCATCAAATCCAGAGGTGACTTTTGAGTCGACTCAAACATCACCATCAAAGCCACCACCCACAACCCTGACGTACCTGTCTCTCCTTCCCTCTGCTCGTACCTTCCCTCTGCTCTTACCTTCCCTGTGCTCTTACCTTCCCTCTGCTCTCTCCTTCCCTGTGCTCTTACCTTCCCTGTGCTCTTACCTTCCCTGTGCTCTTACCTTCCCTGTGCTCTTACCTTCCCTGTGCTCTTACCTTCCCTGTGCTCTTACCTTCCCTGTGCTCTTACCTTCCCTGTGCTCTTACCTTCCCTGTGCTCTTACCTTCCCTGTGCTCTTACCTTCCCCTGATTTCCCTGTCTCTCAGCATGCTGCTGCACTGGACCTTCAGCACCAGCACCACCATCAAGTTCTCCATAGAAGCACGCGGCGCCACTATAGCCTCAACCAGGCTGGCTCCCTGCTCTCTGATTCCCCGCCCTCTTCCCCTTCCCTTGTCCCCCTCCTCTCAGCATGCTTCTGCACTGGACCTTCAGCACCAGCACCACCATCAAATTCTCCATAGAAGCACAAGGCGCCACTATAGCCAAGGACGGCTGGATAGCCGTTGGATGGTCAGGCAGAAAGGGCAAGATGAAGGGCTCAGATGCGGTCATCGGGAACCTGCCTGGCGTGGCTGCGGTGCACATGAGTGGATACAGCAAGAAGCTTATAAAGCAAACGAGTGCGTTCACTATCGGGGATACTGCTGTCGCTACCACCTCTGAAGGCGGCACCACCATCACGTGAGTGTGTGTTTTGAGGGTGTGTGTGTTGAGTGTGTTTTGAGGGGGTGTGTGTGTTTTGGCGAGGACAGGTGGGGGTGCACATGGGTGGCTACAGCAAGAAGCTTATAAAGCAAGCGAGTGTGTTCACTATCGGAAATACCTCAGCCCCTACCACCTCTGAAGGCCGCACCACAATCACGTGAGTGTGTTTGAGTGTGTGTAAAGCGTGCGTGTTTTGAGTGTGTGTAAAGCGTGCGTGTTTTGAGTGAGTGTAGAGCATGTTTTGAGTGAGTGTAGAGCGTGTTTTGAGTGAGTGTAGAGCGTGTTTTGAGTGAGTGTAGAGCGTGTTTTGAGTGAGTGTAGAGCGTGTTTTGAGTGTGTGTTGAGTGTGTTTTTCCCTGGCGTGGTACTGGTGCACATGAGTGGATACAGTAAGAAGCTTGTAAAGCAAACGAGTGTGTTCACTATCGGATCCGTCAATGTTGGGTTATCATACCCCTTTTATCCCTCGCTCGACCCTTTCCCATCTCCCCACTTAACCCCCTCTCTCCTCTCTCTCTCGTATCCCCCATCTGCCCTCTCCCCTCTGCCTCTCCTCTCCTTGCAGGTTCACCAGGGAGGTGGGCAAGGGAGCGGTACCAATCAAGCTCAACGCCACCAACTACCTCATCTATGCCTTCAGTACCACAGCCTCCACCACCCTCGCCTTCCATGGCTGGAACCAGTAAGCCCCCTGTTGCCCTGTAACCTGGTTACCATGCAACCGTGGTACCATTACTGGTGCGGCTGTGGCATTTTGTTACCCTTCAAACACTGTCATTCAACAGTACACGGTTCCACAGTTTTGCCTTTCCCATAACTGGAACAAGTAAGCCCATGCAACCAGTGACTCCCCTCATACCAGTATACCCCCCCTCCCCCCCCCCCCCCCCTCCCCCCACTTCCACCCTTCCCCCGCCCCTGTCTCCATATCAGGGGCGGCCTTGCGGTGGACTTCTCGTGTTTCAAGAAGCCCTCAGCCCTGTGGGGTGGCGGGCCGGACTACAGCGATGACTCGGATTATGACAGCTCGTTCCGCAGTGCACGCGCTGCAAGCATGGATGGCACTAGTACAAGCACTGCAGGCACCTCCTCTGCTGACTCAGCAATGGGCCGGGCTTTAAGCAGCGGTCGGCGAAACCGGTTGCACCAGCAGACGGGCTTGGGGCATCAGCACCATGAGAGCGCTGTTGGTACCGCTGCTGGTGATGGTGCTGTTGGCACTGGGGTCGGCATGACAAATGCTGACTGGTGGGCGAGGAGATCTGGATTCTGGAAAACTGTTTTTGGAGGTTGATTGTGTGGATTGTCTTTTTCTTGGAAACAGCTCGTTCTAGAACACAAAAGCTATTCCATATTTAAAGTGCTCATATTGTTGCCATTTAGAAAGTAGCAAGCGTCCAAGTCCGCTTGGTCTCTCAGTCTGTAACAAACCTGTATTGATATTTATTCAACAAGGCGCTCAACCTCACGTATCAAATGTTTGTGGGTACTTGTTGGCCCTCTACTTCATTTTGTAGGGTTTAGTAATCGAGGTGGATCTACCGCGTCTAGAAGTTGAGCTGGAGTCGAAATGAATATATCGTATCGAGGCTGCTACTACTAGCAAGCAAGTGCATGGCGTGCCACCTCTACGAGTCGCTTTCGTTTCACTCTAGAGGGAAGGCGACTCGTATTGTAGGGTCACACTCACACACTTCAGGAATCCGACACCGTTTGTTACAGTGGCGCCGCCAAATCGATGCGTGCCACACATATACAGCACTGTACAAAACGCTGGTTCGAACCGCCAAATCAACCTTTACGGCTGCCCCTAAATTCATCCCACATCCCCTTTGAATCAGGCCAAACCGTACACTGTGCTGAGCGTTGAACTCCTCGTACAGTACCATTGACATTTTGAAAGCCCGTAATCGCCACATCCTGCACGCCTTTCTGTCACCTACCATGCGCTGCGACATGTCCTCCTGCCGCCCACCACTTGGCACAGTCCCCTTGGCGCCCCCATCGCAACCGCTTCCCCAAAGAGCCCCCGAAGAGCTCACCTTGCACCTGACCGACAAAGCTCTATATAGGAAGCTGGTAGCAGACACATGGAGTTTTTTCGACAACTCACGGCTTGAGCTAGACTGTCTCCCCAAAACTGGACATTGGTATAGCATGGCACAACACACTTTGTGTTGCCCCATAACACAGCACCTGACCCCAAAATTCAATAAGGCGGAAGCCTCCATCCATGCCACCTGGCATCGTCTACAAATGTTTTTGATTAGAGTCCACGTAAAAAACACACACGCTGCGGGCCTTTGTGGAAAACTCACAAACCCCGGGCAAAAGGGAACTTATAGTCCCATATAAGAACAATTGCATGAAGAGAGATTTTTCTTCGCTACTATTTGTGTTTTTCTGGCACATACGTACATTCGGACTACGCTGTCTTCAACTTCTCGTCGCACGGTTTGCCGCGTTGATCAGTGTCGCAGGACAAACAGGCAGAAAAATACAAAATAAATTATTTTTAAGGCCGAAAGGAAAGACAACATCTTTGTTTTACACTGTAAGCGAGATTAATGAGGTGGCATCGTCGGAGCTCGCGGGGAACCGCGCAACAGGATTTCGACAAAAGAGCGGTCAAGATAAACAGACAAACACAATGCAAAAAAAGAAATAGTGAATCAAACTTCCTTTCGTTTTAGTTTCTCTAAATGTTCTGACAGGTTCGATTTGCTTTCTCTGATTGGCTGCGGAACTGATTCGTGCAATGATTCAGTCAAGATGCAAGATTTCCCGCCAAAAATAGGACTGTAGAGGAGGGGATACACCTAGGACTTACGTGAAAAATCTACTCGTTGAGGAAATAGGACTCTTTTAGGAAGGGCTTCTAAGCCAGAACATTTGTACCGTGCATTTCTGCTGGCACCCCCTCTCACGCCAGCACCCCCCATTTCCCCCGCCTTGCTGAAAAGTGCAGTTGCCCAGATCCATCGATTCGTTTATACGTGTATTTTACTTTTCGGGGTCAAAATATTTTTGAAAGGAGAGTCTAGAATTTTTCTTGGTGAATAATATCACACTATTTTTGACTTTGATAAATGTCTGAAGTTCAGCGTTGACTTCATTACTTTTGAAGTTGTAACCAGACATTGGGAACGAACAACCTGAAAAAAAGCATCCAGGAATGAAAACACCCAACCGAAATGTACGCAGGGCACAGCTTCTACACAGAGCACCTAGTGGCTGTCACAGCCACGGTGGCTCCTCCATCCATTCATAAGCTTGATGCCTGCAACCATTTGGCAAGGAGGAAAGCTGGTTCACTCCACTAGAGCTCCAGTGTTACTATTTCTTGCCGTTCCCCCCCCCCCCCGTGTTGCGGCAGAGCTGTTCGTCAAGCATCTCATTGCTAGCTTCCGTATTCCTCTGACGCCTCCACACCCACGGGTCGTTTCTCGGGAAACGTCTCGATGGCCCGGCGTCAGCTCCTCACCGTGACGCCGCTTATTCTCGCGCTGCTTTTTGCAGTAACACACTAAGCCGCCATTTCCGCCGCCGCAGCCGCACCCGCTCTGCCGCCTCCTTTCGTTCGTTCTTCATTTCGCCTCCCTAACTTCGGATCGTTACTAGAAAGTGCCGGAAATCTTCTATCTGGTGCTGTGGGGTTGCGATGGAAATCACAGCGTGCTGGAGTCCAGGCGACATGCAGCGCGTCGAGCCGAAGTGGATTCACGTCCTCGGTAACGCTTGCACCCGGGTAAGATTACTGTTGTTTCCCCCAACTACACTAAACTACACCAACATAATTCCTTTTCATAGTTACTATAATTTATATTGGTTCTGGCATTTAACAAAAATGGTGAGTTTTCTTAATTTAAAGAGTCTGACTAGTTGTGCCTCTCTGATAAAACATCATGTTTGATGATACAAAACAACAAATTGATTTTCTTATTTTGGTAGGTGATAGGAAAAGAAAAGCTCCAAATTAAAGTTGTAATGGATGAGTCTAATAACCAATTTGAGATGGCTTTTTCGATTCCGTTTTGGAAGTGTCTTAGTTCTCTGCAGAGATTCCTCAATGTGTTATCTTGTTGGGAAGTCCACTACAACCAGGAACATTATATTTGCCCTCCGTGTCTTTCATTATTTTTTCGCTTGAACTTGTTCTCATCCGTTCCCTCCCTCTCCCACTAGTCCTTCCATGTAAAATGTATCACTTCCGTTTCATGAGAAAGTGGCAACTTCACTCGAAAATGCATATAATTTTCCTACTCACATATTAGGGGTACTCGTTTGTCCATCCTTGCTTCTTGCTTCCACCCACCTCTCCCCCCTCCTTTGCTTTCCTCCTCCCTCCCACCCCCCCCAAACCACCACCACCACAACCTGGCAGGTTCATTCTCCACTGGAAGGTCACAACAGGCACCACAGTGAACATGGCTCTGGAGGCCCAGACACCCGCGGTCTCTGGCGGGTGGTTCGCCGTGGGCTGGTCGGCAACCGGAGCAATGTACCCCGCTAACGCCGTCATTGTCAACACTGAAGACTACGGTGATATTGGCCCGTATAAAATGGAGCACGACTCACCGACGGCTTTCATCCCCTTTGCAAACTTCCTGCTGGGTTCCGCCACCTACACCAGGCCTGCTTCCACGTACCCTGGCGGCGCTACCACGCTTGCCGGCAGCGGCGTTGCCACGTATGTATTGTCTATAATATCGCGCTTACCTGGTAAGCAGAGGGGGCCTCTGTTCTAAGTCTCCCCTGACCCCCTCGCATATGGTATCGCACTTACCCTCACTCGCACCTTAATACCGGTACGAGTAAGAGTAGTACACCTAGAATGTCACAACCACACCTTCTCAGTCCCACACTCCCACACACACCCCACATTCCAGTCCCACACCCACAAGTTTCCGCACAACGGGCACGGGCAGAAAACGCCGCTCAACTTCCCCTCTCTTCCCATATTTCCCTTTCCTCCTCCCCACCTCTCTCTTCCATCCCCTTTCCAGCTTCTCCCGCACGGTGGGCACGGGCGACAAGATCAACTTCGTCAACGGACCCATGAAGACCATCTGGGCCTACTCCGATGGCCAATCAGGCTCCTTCAACGCCGGCCATGCCGCCCAACGTGGCGTCGTCACAATCGACTACAAATGCGACCCCAACGCCGCCAACCCCCCGCCGCCCGCCCCTTCCGTCAAACTTCCTCCTCCCACCCCTTCCACTGCCAAACCCCCGCCTTCCCATGCGTCCACCAAACCCTCCCCCCCGCCACCTGTCGCCCGCGCCTCGCCGCCCCCCCCGCCGTCTTCCAAGCCCAAGCCGTCTCCTCCTCCTCCTGTGTCACCCCCTGCTGGAGGCATGGCGTGTGCCAAGTCATCACTTGCTGGGTTCTCGTACCAAGTGGCTTTGAATGGACCCCTGTGAGTGATGGTAGCGCTGGGGCACAGGGTGGTGCTGGTGGTGAGTGCTGTGGGGCACAGGGTGGTGCTTTTCATTCGCCATTGAGGCTCACAACCCCCATAACACATCCATCACCCCTTCCTCCACCCCTTTCCCCCTTCCAGCGTCCTCCTCCATTGGACCTTTGCCACAAAGAGAGTCATCAAAGCAGCCATTGAGGGCAGCAGCAGCAGCACCTTTGGCTCAAACCTGCCCTTTCCCGTGCTCTCACCCCATTACCCACCCCTTTCCCCCTTCCAGAGTCCTCCTCCATTGGACCTTTGCCACGAAGAGAGTCATCAGATTCGCCATTGAGGCTTGCAAGGGCGCTCTTGCCAAGGGAGGCTGGATAGCCGTTGGATGGTCACGAAATAAGGGCAAGATGAAGGGCTCAGATGCAGTTGTTGGGAATCTGCTTGTCGTGGTGGCAGTGCATTTGGGTGGATACCGCAAGAACCTTGTAAAGAAGACAAAAGCATTTAATATTGGTTCTCCTCGGGTTGCTGCTACTGCAAAAGGCAGCACGGCAATCACGTAAGTCTCATGGAACAAACATGGTGGGTTATCTCATTTCCCCGTGTGTATCTTGATTTTCCTAATGATTTTTTGTGTGTTTGTTGTTACAACATTGCCACTGTAGCGTCATGTTTTGCTACATTATCACTTTTGAGAATTCTCAAAATCTGTTATGTTCTGATATGCTGCGCTGTTCGTCCAGTGATTTTTCTCCGCGTTCAAGTTCTCCTCATGTGTCGCTTGTTTGTCCTTGTTCCCTTTGCCCCTCCCATCCCACTCCTTCAAATCTCCTCACACCCTCTCAGATTCGCCAAGAAGGTGGGCACGGGGAATGTACCAATCAAGCTCAACGCCACCAACTACCTCATCCGGGCTTTAAGCAGCAGCACCACCAAAACCTTTGCCTTCCATGGAAACAACCACTAAGTGCCTTACCCTTGATCCATTAAGCCACCTTGTTGCCCCAATTTGATTATACTAGGCTGTCTGCTCTGCCTAGCCTTCCCATCTGCCTCTCCTTTTCCCCAACAAACCACCTCCCAACAGCTCTCTTTCTCAACATTCCACCCTCTCTCCCAACCAGGAACAGTCTCGATGTGGCAATTTCCTTGGTTCAAGAAGATCTCATCCCTCTGAGGCATGAATCAAGTCTTGTGGGCCTGACGAATATCACTCCTCAATCCACCCCACTCTCTCTTGAACCCTGCACTCCCTTTTCTCCAAATAGGAGGGGCAGCCTTGCTGTAGACTGCTTGCGCTTCAAACTCGTGAGGAAACCACTGTTCTAATGTGTCTTAAAACAAATCTCCCCCCAACCTTCCACCATCACTACCTCCAACCAGGGGCGGCCTTGCGGTGGACTTCTCATGCTTCAGGAGGCTCCAGTACCTCTGGGGGCGGCGGGCCCGACTATGAAAATGGCAATGCATGTCACCAAACCAATCCCCCTTCATACTTCCCCCCCCCCCCCCTCTCTCTCTCTCCCTACCAGGGGCGGCCTTGCAGTGGACTTCTCGTGCTTCAAGAAGCCACGGTACCTCTGGGGCGGGGGGCCAGACTACAACGATGACTCGGACTATGACAACCCGCCTCCCTCCGGTGGTGGCGGTGGTGATGATGATGACGATGATGACGACGATGACGACGGCGACGACGACGATGATGATGATGATGATGATGATGATGATGATGATGATGATGATGATGATGATGATGATGATGATGATGATGATGATGATGATGATGATGACCATAAAAAAGATCATGATGACGATGACGACGAAGATGATGATGACGACAACCACCACCGTCACCATGATGATGATGACGACGATGACGACCATCACCACCGCAAGTCGTCAGCCAAAAAGTCATCCAACAGCAAACTGGCCTATAGCTACACCGTCCCTACCGCACAAGGTTCCTCCAACCCGTTGGCTGGTGCTGCTTCAAGTAGCAATCATGCCATGAACCATTTGTTCAGGCAGAGGCCGTTGGGCCAACAACAACGTTTTTCTGGTGCTGCGGGTGGTCCTGTTGGTGCTATTGGCAGCGCTGGTGCTAGTGATGCTGCCGGTGCTAGTGATTCTGGTGCTGGCACTATTGGTGTTGCTACTACCGGAGTTGTTGCTGCTGCTACTGGTGCTGCTTCTGCTGCTGCTACCGGTGCTGTTGGTGCTGCTGGTGGTACTGTTGGTGCTATTGGGGCTGCTGGTGCCAATGATGTTTCTGCTGGTAGTGCTTTTGGTGCTGATACAGCTCGTGTTGCTGCTGCCGGTGCCACTGCTGCTACAGGTGAAACTGCTGCTGCCGGTGCCACTGTTGCTGCAGGTGAAACTGCTGCTGCCAGTGCCAATGCTGCTGCCACTGCCAATGCTGCTGCAGGTGCCAATGCTGCTGCAGGTGCCAATGCTGCTGCCGGTGCCACTGCTGCTGCCGGTGCCACTGCTGCTGCTGCTGGTATTGCTGGTGCTATTGGTGGTGCTAGTGCCAGTGATGCTGCTGGTGCTAGTGCTTCGAGTGCTGGTGCTGCTGGTGTTGGTGCTGGCGGTGCTGATGCAACAGGGGGCAGTGCTGCTGCTGCTGACGGTGGTGCTTATGTCAGTGATGCTGGTGATGCCAATGCTTCTACCACACGTATTGCGGGCTTTGGTGCTGTCAGTGCTGGTGCTACTGCTGGTGGTACTGCTGGTGTTGTTGATGGTGCTGGTGCAAGTGAAGGTGGGCCTTACAGTGCTGCTGCTGCTGATGGTGTTGGTACTGCTGGTACCAATGATGCTGCTTGGGTTGCTTCTGCTGGCTCTGGCCCTACTGGTGCTGCTACTTCTGTTGGTATTGCAGGTGCCATTGCTGGCGTTGGTGCTGGTGACGCTGCTCATGTTGGTGCTGTTAGTGGCACTGCTGGTGTCGGCACTGCTGGTGCTGACCCTGCTGGTGGTGCTGTCACTGCTGGTTTGCGTGGTGGTGCTGCTAGCGGTGCTGTGGTTGCCACAGATTCTGCTGGTGCTAGTTCTGGTGCTGTGGGTTCTGCTGGTGCTGGCGCCGCTGTTGCTGGTGATGCTGTTGACGCTACTACTAGTGACGCTGGTGCTGTGCTGCAGCAAAGAGCTTAGCAAATGCGGACCCCGAGGCAGCTGGTGGATCTGCCCTTTGGGATGATTCCTTTTTTTGAAGTGATAAGTCAATGCATATGCTCTCAAGATTCCTCCTCCATCATTTTAGTCCTAGGACATGGCATTCAGAAATCAGTCATTTCATCCTCCTCTGAGAAAAAAGAGCTTGTTTCCAGTTTTGTTTCTCTCGAGCGGTCCCTGTATTATATCCAAACGTTACACCAATGCAGGTAGGTTAATGGCAAGCATACCAATCATCAAACATCAAAACGACTAACCTACCGTACTAACTTGCCCTCTGACCTTGCTCCTCTAAGGGATCTCCAGGGCTGGCTCCAGGATGCTAAGGCAGTCCCCAAGGGACGTGCCTTCTCCTAGGACCCCCACAAGTGGGTTTTCCACCTGAGCCGCAAGCTTGCACTTTGTCACGTAGCTCACGGACTGGGCGCGTTGCAGTGCCACCAACAATCGCTGCCAGAATTGGTGCAACAGATTAGTCGCCTGGTAAGTCGATGGGTCCGCATTGAAGTGCTTATGGGCTGCGGTGTCAGCTAGAAGCTTGAGCAATTGTGGCACCTCAGCGCACGGGCAACCATATGTCTCAATTGCTCACGGGCAACCATACGGCCAGAGGGAAGAACCTGACCCAAGAGGTTGTCGAGCCACTGTAGACGCTAACCTTCTTCTCTGCCGCCTCCCAAGCTGCCCAGCCCCTTCCCTTGTCCGCTCCTGGTTCACGTGTGCTGATTGGGTCGGTGATGGTTAAGTCATCAATCCAAGCTGCTCCCGTGGACCAGTCCTGTATGGCAATGTTGGCCTTTTTCTTGTCAACGGGGCATAATACTGCTGGCTCCCTATGTGCCATGAAGCCCGCATTGTATGCCATCCTCATACACTCATCACGCAGTTCATTGTGAGTGTCATATGGAAGGGTTACCATATTCACCATGTGTTACCCTAGTTGCTTACCGAAGGGTGTTGTTTGGTGTCACAGCATTATCACAACTGAATTCTGCGCTGAAGCAATACTCATAGGTGATTGTTGTGGTTGTGACCAGCAAAGCATGTGCTTTCACTGATTTGTTAATTGTTTCCCAACAATCCACATGATTTGTCACCCCTACCTGATTGTTGTGGTTGTGACCAGCAAAGCATGTGCCTTTCATTCCGCCTTCCAACTCTTTTCACTCCTAGCTCTCTCCTATCCCTTATCCCCCTCTTCGCCCCACTCCTTGAAATCTCCCTCACACCGCGCAGCTTTGCCAGGAAGGTGGGCACGAGGAATGTACCAATTAAACTCAACGCTGCCAACTACCCCATCTTTACCTTCAGCAGTGCCATTCGAGTCCACTCACAAACCACCACCACCACTCTTCCCTCCACGCTCCCCTCTCTTCCTCCTAGCTTTGCCACCAACTACCTCATCTGGGCTTTAAGCAGCACCACCACCAAGACCTTTGCCTTCCAAGGCAACAACCAGTAACTGCTCGTTTGTTACCATGTTACCCACTATCCAGCAAGACACCTTGTTGCCGCCATTTTCATCTAGTGCTGTCTACCTAATCTACTACTAGTAAGATTTGATCTCACATGCACTGAAACATCTTCTGCTCCCACACTTCCACTTCTGCTTCCTCCAATCACGGGGGGTATTGCGGTTGACTTCTTGCGTTACAGGAGGCCCTGGTGCCTCTGCGGTGGCGGCCCCAACTACGAGGATGGGAAGGCATGTTACCAAGCTAAGCCCCCACTTCTCCTGTACCCCTCCCACTCTCTCCCTCCCAATTAGGGGCGGCCTTGCGATGGACTTCTCATGCTTCAAGAAGCCACGGTACCTCTGGGGAGGCGGGCCTAACTACAACGATGAGTCGGACTATGACAACCTGCCTCCCTCTGGTGGCGGCCGTGGTGATGATGTCAACAACAACGATGATGATCATGATGACGATGACCATCATGATTACCATCATGATATCCATCATGATAACCATCATGATAACCATCATGATAACCATGATGATCACCATGACCATGAAGAAGATGACCATCACCACCACAGGTCGAAACATGGCGAGTCATCGACCAGGAAGGCATCCAACAGCAAATCGGCCTACAGCTACACTGTCCCTACCGCACATGGTTCCTCCCACCCGTTGGTTGGGGCTGCTTCAAGTAGCAAGCGAGCCATGAACCATTTGTTCAGGCAGAGGCCGTTGGGCCAGCAACAGCGTGTTGCTGGTCCCGTTGCTGGTGGTACTACTGCTGCTAATGGTACTGTCAGAATCCCAACCACTAGACCATTGGGATAAAAGGGCTTATTTCAGTAGCGGGTCAGTATGCCCATAACCCCCCAGGCGAACGCGCCTGTAACCCTCTCCAGGATCAATCGGGCATCCACAGTGCAGATCTACTGACACCCCCTTACACTGGGAGGCCCAGGACTAAGCACAGCGGCACCGGCCTACATGTGCATACACCGGGATTCGAACCCGAGACCGCTCTGATACCATGTCAGAATCCCAACCACTAGACCATTGGGATAAAAGGGCTTGTTTCAGTAGCGGGTCAGTACGCCCATAACCCCCTAGGCGAACGCGCCTGCAACCCTCTCCAGGATCAATCGGGCATCCACAGTGCAGATCTACTCACAGGTACTACTGTTGCTAGTGGTGCTACTGGTGCTAATGCTTCTGGTGCTGGCACTGGTGGTGTTGCTGCTACCGGTGCTGGTGGTGCCACGGGTGGTACTACTGGTGCCATTGGTGGTGCTGGTTCTAGAGATTCTGGTGCTGGTTCTGCTGGTGTTGCTGCTAC